TTGTTGGATTAGAGGAAGTTCTTTGTGAAAAGATATCCATCTCTTTGTCATGTCTTCTAGGATGGATTGATCCCAAGTTAAGTTGTTTTTCTACAGTTCCTGAAGAAAGCTTTTTATAAATATAATGAAGGAGATATAAAGACCAAGGGATCAAAAACATGCAAAACTTCCGAGACAACTTCTCTTTTTGAAAATGTCAATTTGTCTTCGATTAGTGGAACTGCAAAATGAAAACGGGCATCTTTTGTACTTATCTGAATTCACGTGCATTAGATCTTTTTTTTCTTTTTTACTTGGTGTTTTTTTAAATCTTGATGGAACATTAGAATGCCATTTTTGAAGGTTGAATCCAGCTCTCTTCATCATATTCTTTCATTCATTAGCTCTAGAGCTACTTACTCTGATGAAGCACCACTCAGAAGATCATCAACATAGAAATCATTTAGGATTACATATAAAGCCAAAAGAAAATTGTTTTTCTCATCTAAAGCCAATTGCTGCATAGCATTTGTGCACAAGAATGGTGCTGATGTTGTGTTATAGGTGATTGTGAGTATTCTCTAACTGGCTCTTCAGGACTTGCTCTCTAAAGAATTTTTCGCTAATCAGTATCCTCAGAATTAACACTGACGTATAAACATTTTTTCTATATCAGCACTCGCTGCAATTTAAAAACTTCTAAAAGGAATAAGGATAATGAATAACATCCTGTATTCACGTGCCTATCATTAGAAGTTCATTCAAGGATTGTCCATATGATGACTTGGAAGAACCATTGAAGACAACTCTCAGCCTTGTTATAGTGCTGAAAGAACAGCGAAATAAGGAAGAAAGTATGCATTTGTTTTCATAGACTCAGATTGTGAAATCAATTCCATATGTCCTAATATTCAAACATAAATTTTTATATTGTTCGTATTTTTTACTGTTGAAAGATAAGGAATTCTCCAAGTATTTCAATCTGAGGAGACAGCTGTCATGGAATCTCCAAGTTGAGAAGGTGAGGTATGGAAGGGAAACCTCATGACATATCTTCCATCAGTATCTGTAGAATGCGTAAAGTGCTGTTCACAAGCTTTTTCATCATGACTTAAGAAGCTTGCGGCAGGTACCTTGTCTAGTTCCCAAAAGTTGTTTAACAATTTATTACTGACTAATTGAATGTTGTTAACCAGAACAATTGAGTTTTTCTCGCATGAGGGAACCCAGCCTGCAATTAGCCATCCTAATTGACACTGAGCAGGAAAGAGCTTTCCATCTCCCCAAGAAAGTGTCCGACCTTTAAACATTAGAAGTGTTATATCCATACCAAGAAGACTATCAATGTTTTCAATCTTGTAAAAGTTTGGATCCGCTGCGGTAAGATCAGTGAACTGTTCGGAACAAAAAGGATCCAAATTAACGTGCAGAAGCTGACCCACTATTTTCTTGACAGTGTAGACAGAAGTACCAAAGGAAGGATTTGCCATAAAATGATTTGTAAACCTAATCTGAGAAACACCATTTGTACAAGTGTTTGATGTACCCAAACATAAAATTATCACATTTTTTTTTCTTTTTTGACAAACTCAATCTTTCTAGGCAATTGCTTGTTATTAAAGAAGCCTGTCTGCCTGGATCCAAAAAAGCATGACAAGTAGCAGAATCCTTTACATTCACTAGAGCCGTGCATAGTAGCACCTGGATATCATAGCCCAAATCCAAGCAGTGGGATTTGAAATAATTTCACAACTTGCATTAAATTCATTGGTCTTAGAATTGGAAGATTCAACCACTTTAGCATTCACAGAATGAACTTTTGGACAGTGGAGTAGCAAGCATAACTGGCACCCGGGGCTTGATCACATCCATCTCATGGTATAAATTTTGCTCCCCAATGGTTATGCCATATTCCTGTTCACTCAGTTCACATTGTCCAGGACTGGTTTTCTGGGCATGAGGGTGAACTTTCACATCTACCGTGGCCACCAAAGTCACCAGATATCAATATTATTGAACCTTTGTGTGGGCTATTTAGGAGAGAAATCTGCATGAGCACTATCCACCACCATCACCATCATCATTAACTGAACAAGTCAACGTTTCACAGGAAGAAGGGTACAAGATGCCCTTGCAAAGCATATAAAACCTCTATTTATCTATTTCAATAAGACTGCATTTTCATGAATGCCAGCGGTTTTCCCACACCATATTACTTATAGCAATTTGTTTTATTCCATTGTTTCCATATATTTGTCAGATCCTTGTATTTATACTCTACAAGAGTAAAACAAACAAGAAAGTATTACCATTTGTCAGCAGGTATAATAAAAAAAATTACGTCAACAGAATTTTGGCGTTGGGAAGGACTGGATTGGACTCAAAGCCATTAACTAAACAAGATAAGTTTTTGTGAATGTGAAAAGCATTGAGAAAATTCAAATGCACCAATGGAAGAAGCTTTTTGGGTAATTTTTAGAGACCAAAATCAAAATTATGACTAAATTTCCAACTATGATTAGCTGTCGAAGACTTGTTACTTTCGCCTTTTCAGACATAAGATTCCTGTTCCTTGATGCGAAAGTTTATAGCTCTCTGAGTTTGGTCAATATACTTCAAACCACACTGACACGATATGTTGTAAATTCACCAAGAATTAATTCGGTCCGAGGTTCGAATCCCGCGAACGGGCTGGCTTGCATGGGCGCGTTTTCGTGGTTTTCCCCATGTGTAACGTGTATACGAGCCAGTTTCCCTTAGAAAGTCCTCCACGAAGGCATCCCTCCTCTTAGGCAGATAGCCCTCGAGGCTTTGCCATAATCACACACACACACACACCAAGAATTAAAGTCATAAATGGAGACTTTAAGAATTGAATCAGGCGTTTTATTGATAGGTGAGAAAATGACTTGAAAATTGAACTTCTGGAGAATCTGCAATTTTGTAACTTGCAGAAGGATGAAATTAAAGCACAAAAAGATTATTAATGCTGTTTCTAATAACAGAATGTCTTTGATGGCAATATGAAAATTTCAAAGGCTTTATCTATGACCATGGGGGGAAATCCTCAGTCAGTGACAAATATATTGTATATTTGATTTCAGTAACAAGCAAAGGTTCTGAGGAACAAATTTTGAGAGCATGAAATATACAATAGTAAAAAAACCCTTTTTTTTTTTGCTTAGCCAGCTGACATGACTTAGTGTGGGGCAGTCAAAAAAAAAAAAAAAAAAAAAGGTTTTATAGTAAACAGTACTGTTGAAATCAGATTAGTTGTGGATTATAAGAATACCTAGGAAAGGAAGGTCATTGCCAGATTCAGTTTCTAAAGTGAACTGAATTCGAAAGTTGTCAGTCGAATTTATAATTGATAAAATCTGTTATAAATCTTATTTATTACCATTAGAAAAATGCAAAAATGTCTTCTATATAGTGAATCCCGAAAGGAAAAGATACTCTCTCAAATAATTTTACCTCAAATTATTGTATATGTAAATGTCAGCAAGTAACAGGACTGAGAGGATTACCCATAGCTAATTCTGCAATTCGCTGATAATATTGGTTTTGGAACACAAAGTGGATTTAACTCAAAGAGGCTTTAGTAAGAGAAATTAACTCTTCAATTTCAGTGTGTGAGAAAATTATATTCTTAAAGCCTAGTTTAAAGACATTTTAGTGCTCCTTTGACTGGAACATTAATGAATAGAGATTTAATGTTTGGGGGAAAAGAAAGAAAACGGGAGAACTGGGAGAGAAATGATGGGTTTTTTTTTACATTGATTGTTTTGATTGATTTTCTTTCATTATGATTCATTTCATTATTTTAATTGATTTTTTTTCATCATTCACTTTTTGATTGATTTTTTCTATTATGATTTTCTTCTTTAGTCTGCAAAAGTTATCCCAAAAGCTTCTTCCATTGGCGAATCTGATTTTTGAAGCTTTTTCACATTCACAAAGAATTATCTTGTTTAGTTAATGACTTTTAAAGTCTAATCCAGTCTTCGCTAATGGTTTTTAATTTCTATCAACTTAATTTTGTTTTCATTACTATATTTGCTGACAGTTGGTGCTACCTTATCATTCATTTTACTTCTGTGTGGTATAGATACAACAATGTCTTTCCCTTCATTGCAGATTTTTTTTTGCTCCTGATGAAGAGGCATCTGAACCAGTTTGCCCTCAAAATAAGTAGAATTGTTGACAAAAATGCCAGACACAAGGTTCTTGCTTTGTTAATTTTATGTTTTTCTTCAGTGTGTTTCTCTTCTGTCTTGATACCAAAAATAGCTTTTGTTCATGTAAGAAAATTATATCTATGTTTTTATGGAAGGGAAAATGTTAATCTATTTCTGTTTTCCCTTTAAACATAAAATTTACACATGTATATCTAATTTAGCAGAATATCGGAGGGCCCTTAAAAGTATTGGGTCTCTATGCAGATGTATTCTTTTCATACCCCTTTATACACCACTGTTTATACATATGGCAACCATCCAAAACATTTTGAGTTAATGCTTTAGGGACATCATGTTCAAGCAGAATAAAGCATTGATATTTTGATTTTTCAAGATCTTGAACTTTTATTCAACAAAATATATATATTTGGTTTGGTAAACATTTAAATCTGTGTATTTCATTTCATAAGTTGAATACTTATTCTGGTATATTAGCTTATTACCTGTCAAATGCAGTGGCAATTATTTAGAATAATAAAATATAACCAAAATAATTACGAACCATTTTCTCATTGGTTTAGCACTTAATTAATGAAAACACGGTTAAGATTATCTTATTTTCTAAAATAAGTTTTTAAATAAAGAATAAAATACCTGTCTGACAGAATGCATGCTTTTAAAAATGAAATGTTATGTAATCATTTATTAAATAAGAAATACCAGATGAGATTATTTTTATCTTGAGAGCTTATATAACAGAAATATCTTTCTTACCTAGTCTTTAAGTCATTTTTTTTTTAAATGTGTAAACACTGAAATTAATTTATCTTTATATATTTCTAGTTCAAGGTTTAGCTGTTATGTCTGTAGATCTGGGAAGTGAGTGGATGAAAGTTGCTATAGTTTCTGTAAGTAATATTAGATTTTTGCTCATAGGATATGGAATAATTTGTGTCCAGTATTATAACAATTTTCTCAACCCTCTGAGCGTGCAGGTTTTTGGATCTATCAAGAAGAACTATGTTTAAACAGCACTTTTTAGCTAAATTTGTGTTATTACTTATTTTAGTCTGTTTTCATAAACTTGCATTCATTAAGATAATATTTATATTATTAAAGTAAGAAAGAAATCAAAATATCTCTAATTATACACTAATACATATACAAAATCACAAAAAATCTCATTACCAGATAAAGCCAGTCATGGTGCTCAGAGGGTTAATATGAAATAGTATTGATGTGTATGCATAAAAATAAATTCTATTGCTAGAATTTGTATTGAAATGTTATATAATGAAAATAATCATTGTCATAGGTTTCATTAACAATACTCACCATATATTAAGAATTTAAGATGTTTTAACGTATTATGCTGTTTTATTTTAAAAATAGAAAAATACTAGTTAGATTGCTCATAAATTTTATGCAATATATGGACAAAGTACTGTTTCTAATGATACAGTTTGAAGGTGTTTGAGAAGTTTATGAATGGAAATTTTAACCATCCTCTGTAAACAAGGGCCTGTTAAAAAAAGCTATGGCTGAAAATCTGTGTTATACTATTTAGGAACTATTCGACAATCTAAATACATTGCAAAATCCAAGATCCAGAATTGTCTGGACTTTGGCGATTCTGGATTTTGGAAATTTCTGAAATTTTAGATCATCAGTTTAAATAACATGTAGAAAATTTATAAAAATATATTATTTATTAATATTTCTTTAAGAAAGAAGTATTTTTGCTTAAAAAAGGATTTTTTTCTGAATCACCACCATATGAAATTAAAATGTGACTCAAAGCTAAAATGGTGATATTTTCAGGATCTAAAAACATATTACCGATATTTGTCATTAATTTCATTAATTGGTTGATGATTGAGGCATTGCCATTATAGTATAAGACTTCAGTTATATTATCTTCATTTAGCACTTTTTCTGATATTCCATTAATCAGAAATTTTTACTTTTTCTTGTATGTTCAAAATGTCCTTTAAATTTGTTGCTCTTACCATCATCATGAAATGTGATAGTTGGCTATAAATTATGCCACGCATTTAAAAAAATATCTGTAAACATTTCCTGTCTAAAATCATGCAATGTCCCTTACATCAGATTTTATACGGAAATATTTCTAGGATTCTTGGATAGTGTTATTTCATCATCGATTTTTCAAAAAACTGTTTTATATCTGTATTTCAGTGCATTCAAAATTCTGACATCCGTAGGCTAATCGACAGATGTGCAGTTTTCGGTAAAGAGTAAAACAAAGATATTATCATTTCATAAAACTGTAATTTTGGTAAGATTAACAACAGATGGAACAAAATGATAAATTGGTTCAAATTAGAAAGTTAAGGGAAGTGTAGAGTTTGCTATATTGTTTGAACCTTAATTCCTTGGAATCTAATTTTCTCCTTTTTTGCTTGTATGCCCAGTATGAGCAACATCCCACTCCAAATAAATATGTCTTGGGGCTTTACTTATTCTTTAGATCAGATAGAAAAATGTTAACCCCCCAGCTGCTCAAGGGTTGACAGTGTAATCATGGCTATTGTCAGTACACTGCCAATCGGTATATTGTCATTGGTTATGGTGCAATTCCCTAGTCAGTAGGTATTTGAAAGTGGCATACAAAAGTTTTGGTTGGTCCAATGTTAGTCAGTATTTAAACTATGTGTTAACACGTTACTGACCAATCGCCCATTAATCAGCTTTTTATTGCAAACACCTACTGACCAACAGCCTATTAATTGGCAACACCTACCGACCAATTGCCTTTTTTTCGGCAACGCCTACCGACCGATCGCCTATCAATCGGCTTTTTTCAACAGCGCCTACCAACCGATAGCCTATTAATCGGCTTTTTTTTGCCAATGCCTACCAACCAATACCTATTAATTGCTTTTTTCTTGGGGCTACCTAAAAAAAAAAACCTATCAATTGGTAGCTATGGCAATAAACAATTGCCATTTGCTATATCATCTGCATTTTATTATTAGTATTGAGGTACATTGCTCACTTGTATTGAGTGTGTTGCTTTGTAAACTCTCACATTTTCACACCATTTAAAAAAAAAAATTGCCATTCACGATGAGTGAAAAGAATGGTACTGGAGAGTTTTATTTAGACAAATTATCAGATTGTCCTGACAGTTATTCAGAACAGATAGAATCTGCGGCTGAGCGGTCGGTAAAGTGTTAAGTAGCATCAGTAACTTCAAATAATCACCAAAAATAAGTGGTTATTATAGTTACTAAATACATCCTATCTATTTACAATTTAGGGCCTTAAGCTCTGGAAACACTCCTAAATCATTCTGTATTTTCCCATAATCTGGTTTAAAGAAATCTAATGCAGGCACCACATGTTTTCCTTGTACGGAATATTAAATTATACGCTTTTTTTTTGCTGCATTATCATTTAAACTTATTTCCTCGAATATCAATAGATATCTCATTCAATTAATTCAGTTTTCACTTCACAGTAAGGTAAAAATGGATAAAAACCTCAAAATATCTTCATTAAAAATTGAAAAATATAGAAAAAATAAACACCAAATACAATTAAAATAATTAAAAACATCATTTTTATAATTAGAGTTTCTATGCAAAAACAAGCCAGCAGGCTATGGCAGATTCGGCTAGCAGGCAACAAAGCAGATTTTTTTAGTGCACAAAACTAAGTTTCATTTTGGTCCATTCAGCAAAAAGACACTGAAGGTGCAGAAACTGACTTAATCCATTATTCTGCTAAGTTTCAAATGTAAACAAATATAGTTGTTGCGGTAAACAAAATTAGGTTTAGCTGCACTTAAACAGCTTTTAAATTGTTGGTAATTCTGCAGCTATTGCATGCAGATTAACTAAAAACATAAAAACCTTAACTGGAAATCAAGAATAACACAATTCAATCATTTTTTAAAGTAAAAAAAAAAGTAAAAACATAAAAACCTTAACTGGAAATTAAGAATAACACAATCATTTTTAAAGAAAAAAAAAAAAAGACAAAATAACTGACATATAAGATTAAAGAAAACTGAGCTCACCCAACCCAGTAACACATTGAGTATATATACATTTGGTGTGGCTGATTGCAACCAAAAAGGAAGATGCAAAACTACATGTTATAGCAGTCCTATGAACAAAATTTCTCTGAGGCTTCTCATTTTTGAGTTATGAGAGATACATGAAAAATTATCTTCTGAATCCATTTTAATTCAGTTTTATAATCCATTTGGGGGGAAAAAAAGAGTCCTTTATTTCGTCCTTATATAGAAATGCCACACAAAAACACCATTCAGTTGCATTGGATATTGGTCAAAATTGATATTTTTTTTGAAATATGATACCTGGAATTTTTCATGATTGCAATACTTCCTTTACTTTGTACAAGGAAGTAAAAAAGTGGGTACTTTTTAGTTATCTTTATTCTTTCTGAAAAATTGCAAAAAAGTAGTCATGAAGCTAAGCAATATGTAGCCAAAATAGTTAGTAAATATGTCACTAACAAATACTTATGTGGAAACCCAGGTATGCATTGTGGCATTTCTGTTTTGGCTGATACACAATGAAGTTGTACAGATTTCAAGCTTGTACAATTGTTTGATGCACGTTAAAGTGAAAATTTATCACTGTGTACCTGCGCAAAGCAACAGCTCAGAAAAGAAGGATTTCTGGAAAAACGTTCTTGCTTTTAAAATTTTATTGATTGCTTTTACTAAAATTCTTTGTGTGTCGCCATTTTGAAATTATTTCCTATATTAGCATGGCAAAAATTAGTCTGCAGCAAGTTTATGAATGCTTTTCAAAATACACAACAAATTCACTGTATTTTGGTGGGAGCCTGGATAATAATAATAATAATAATAATTTAAAAAAAACAATCAGGAAAATAGGTATTGAAGTCTCCTGAAAGAGTGCTCCTTTGTTCCAAAACTAATTGATGCTTTTATGCAGCATCTGCAAACTATTTGAACTTCACACGCATTAAAAAATATCATGCTTCTTGTATTTGAGGTATTATTTTCAATATAGTTTTCACTGACAGGAAAACATTATTTCTTCAGCTGTAAAATTAATTTTTTTATATTTATTCTTATATATATTTTCCTTCTTCTTTTTTAGCCTGGTGTACCAATGGAAATAGCTTTAAACAGGTTTGAATCAACTTTGTGCATTATAAAAATATTTTTACAGTTTAAAATATCATATATGGTTTAGTTTCTTTAGTCTCCTTTTAAACGATTTAGAATTCTAAGTGTAAATATATTAATACTTTTAGAGAATCACAGAGAAAAACTCCTGTTGCTGTTTCATTTCGTGATGGAGAACGGGTTTTTGGTGATCCTGCTTTGACAATTGTATGATTTTTATTTATTTAATTTATTTTTTTAAGTAGCAAATTGATATTTATTTCAGGTAATTCAAAATTCTGAATTAAATTTAGGGACTAATTCAGAAGTCAAACAACAAACTTGTTGTTTGACTTGTGAATTAGTATTTATTCAGCGTGTTATTGTGTCTTAATTAAATTTAGGGAGTTTACCATATTTGTAAAGATATTATTTTATAGTTTCAATTACATAAACTATGGATAAATCTTAAATAAATAAATTATTCAATTTAATAATATATCAGATTGTTTTATTTTATATATTATTGCAAAATTAGAAAATTTGGCAATTTATCTGTTTTATACTTAATGCATGTGTATGAAAGAAGAAGCAGAGAAAAAGAACAGAAGCAGCAACATATTAATGGGATAGAAAACATTTTATTGAAAGGTTGTACTACAAGAGGGTTCAAAATTACAACAAGAAGTTATCAGGCCGGCACGACAGCAGTGCTGCATGGAATTCCCTACATTCTAGAAGATTCCTACCGGCAATCTTGTGGTAGATGGTGCTGAAAGCAAGGTTGCGTGAACAGCGATCCTGCTGGAAGTCGTCATTTGAGACCCGTTTCCAGAACTGGTAGGATGAATGCTTATTAAGACAATGAACTGGTTGACATGCTGCTCATGTATGGAGATGCAGATTTTAATAGGCCCACCGTTCAGCAGTTGTACCAGGAACATTGCCTAAACAGCAGTTCATCACACGACCTTGGCAAGTGTGAGCAGAAGGTTACGTGAGACTGGTTGTTTAACAAGAGCTACAATGAATCGACAAAATAACGAGGATACCTGGCAGTGAGGAGGTCGTCTTATGTCTGGCAGAAGACAATCCAAGTATGGGTATTTAAGCGATAACCCAGCATGTGAGTTTATCTCAATCCATTGTCTGGAGGATGCCCACAGCAAATCAAATGAGCGCAAACCATCTTCATCACACCTAATTATTAAAACCTGAGGATTATCCACTCCGGAGGATGTTTGCTACATGGTTCCTGCAACAGAGTACTGCATATTATGTATTTGCTGTAGCCGTATTGATCACGGATGAAGCATACTTCACATATGAGGGAGCCTTCAATCAACATAACGTCCCTGTGTGAGCTTTGTAGAACCTTCATTCATATGCAACCATGTGCAGCTCGAGTGTTTCTCAGTCAGTGTTTGGCTGGCATTCTTGGAGACTATCTCAACCGTACCTTCTGCCCTGTCCTTTGGATGATAGGGCTTACCTGATCTTCTTCAAACCAGTCCTGCCCTTCTTGATGAACTTCTTGATGCAGCACATGTTCCTCCATCATTGCACTGCTCCATGTGGTACCAGCATGACTGAGCTCCTCTACATCACATGACTGACCTTCATCAACACCTCGACATAACCTTTGGACAGCAGTGGATAGGTTGTGGTGGCCCTGTTCACGGGCCTGCCTGATCAGACCTATCATGCATGGACTCCTTCTTCTGGGGTCACAAGAAGAGTTTGGTGTACAAGACATCTGTTTCTTAAGTTGAAGACCTCTTTGCTCAAATATCTGTAGCTGTCAGGAGGATACGTGACATGCCAGGAATCTTTCAAAATGTTAGGAATTCCATGCAGTGCTATTGTCAGGCCTGCCAGGACCTCTGGTCATAATTTAGAACACATGTTGTAGTACAACCTTTCAGTAAAATGTTTTCTGTCCATTAATTAATGTGCTGCTATTTCTGTTCTTTTTCTCTACTTTTGTGCACCATAGCATGCAATTATGGCATTTGTGATCTTTCATTTCTATGTGATTCTGAGTCATCTCTGTATATGTGTGTATATATATATATATATGTTAACCTAAAAGTACCATGAGTATGTGTGCATATATCTCTAAAATTATTTTTAGATATACACATTAAAAAATTAAAAATTATAAATTGTAATAATTTTTTTGGGCCAGCATGTTCCAAAGAAAAAAAAAAAAAAAAATCTATGAAATATCCCATTACTAAATTAATAAGAATTGTATTAATTTTCATTGAATGTTTTTGGAAAATTATTTACTTATTGAATTGAATTATTACATGAATTATTATTCAATTAATTGAATTATTAATTGAATTTTATTACAAAAATGAAAATTTATTTTTAAGTAAATTAAACTGTTATTAATAAATTAATTCCCTTTAGTAGTCTGATAATTGCCTTATTGTTCATTTTTTCCACTTTTCTTCCTTTTTCCCAGTTTCTTCTTTTCTTCCACTTTTTATCATTTTTTTCTATTATCCTGGAAGAAACATATTTCTTCTTGAAGAACCAAACTCTGGTAGCAATCAGCTTTGATGCTGTATGTCTCGGAAACTTCATATATTGATAAGAATTTCGATGTAGATCACAGTTATATGAAAAAATAAAACTTTGTCATATATAAGTATTTCCATGTAACTGTTTGTAACTTGTTAACTGATTATTCTGTATGCATGCATCACTGGAGTTATGAAACTTATAGGTTAGGCTACACTGCTTTATTCCTAATTAAACCTGATCTTTTGAAAGTTAAAATTAATATTAAACTGTCTGATAATTCGATTAGGAAAAAATGAGTTATTTTACCAATTGCTGACTTTGGTAGACTTTTTTTTGTTCTCCTAAATTTTGCAAATTTGGAATTTAATTTCGCTGTATAGTTTCTAACTTAGAATTGCATCATATATTGTTATAGTCAAATACTTGCTTACTAGGTTTTTTTTTTTTTTTTTCCCTCCTTACTATTTTCTTACCTTACTTACACTATAAAAAACTTATTTTAATTCCTCAAACTTGGTGATACTTCTTTCCAGAATTCAGTTCTGGTTTCTTTTAAATGTTAAATCACTTTTTATTACTATTCTGGTTGAAGGGGTACTAAAATGTCTTGGAAGCAAAATTCAGGAATTTGATATCCCTGATATTAAACTATCTCATACTAATTTCTCTGATCAGATTCAGTTTTTAAAATACTTACTATCACCAAATAAAAGTATTAGCTGTAGATAAAGGCTTACATTGGGTTTTTGTTGATATTTACCTGCACTATTTTATGATTAAATTATTTCATTTTTTTGTCTGTTCTGGATTAACTATATTGATGATAATTTTATATCTTTTGATATTAATGAAAATTATTTAATATTTTATGTTATGAGTCTAATTGATTCAACCATTAATTCGCATATGAAACTAAATTGCTAATTCCTTTCTTTTCTCTAATACTTTCATTATGCTTTATGTTCTCTAATTATGCATGATAAATCTGATTTCAGAATTTCTGTGCATGCTAAGAATTTTTATTGCTTGCTTGGCATCTCAATCTAATAACTTGTTTTGATGATAAACGATAAAAGACTTCATTTTATTCTTGTCTTTACTATTTTTTCAAGGTTTCTTCACAGTCCTTTCTTAGCTGGGAACTGAATTGTTTGAATTTCTTGTCATTAATAGACTGATAATTACTGATCTCTATTTTGTAATTATTGATAAATCCTGTAAAAAGTTCTCTATCAGTTATAAAGGATGGCAAGATATAGATAACTCTCTGGCTGATAGGAATAACCACAGTAGTATTATAATATACAAAGTATAGAAATCACCATAGTAAACAGAAAGAAATAATTACAGTAGTTTTTTTTTTTTTTTTCCCCATCCCATGTCTCCGTTCTGTTATCTAAAATGTTTAATTCTCTACAAATTGTTTTCTCACCTATCAATAAAATTTATTATTTGATCTTTAAAGATCTTATTTCTGATTTAGTTATTACAAAATGTATAAATTTTGTATCAGTGTATTTTGACATGTATTCATCAGCATTAATGAGTATTGCAGTTTCACAATAAGGATCATGAATCTTATGTTTGAAAAGGAGAAAAAAATGTTTAATGCCAATCATATTTGATCCATTAACTAAGATTTTGTCTTTAGTTCTGTCAATAGATCAACTAACTAAGATTCTGAGTGTAGTTCTGTTAAAAATGTACAGTTTGTAAATTGGTGAATTCTTTGAAGCCACAAAAAAGTACTTTGCTAGGGACTATTCCGGTCCTTTGATTTTTCACTTTGATTTCTTTTCTGCTCAATAGATAATGCTATTGTCATTTAAATTTTTGCTGTGGATATGCATTTCTTTAGTTGTTTGGCTGTTTGCTTTGTCCTAATCGAAATTTTAGTCCTAATTGAAATTAATTTATTTTGCTATGCGTCTTTGTAAAATTAAAGAAAAATATTTTGTAAGTTGAGGGCTTTACAAAATATTTTTCTTTAATTTTACAAACTTCATCATGCCTAAATTGAAATTTTGAGCTTTAGTAAGACTAGTCTATACTATTAAAAATCTGTGCACATCTGTCTGTTTGGGGCATTATCTCTTCCGAAACAGTGGGATGTTGAGCTTAGAGAGGCACTCCTGAATTCAAAAAATTGGTGCGAAGCCATTTTGACCATTCTCATCTTCATACAATTTTAATTAGCCAAGGTATTAACTAAAACCTAGAAGAAAGAGAAATTTAAAACTCAGAAAAATGCTAATTTTTGCCCTCATTTTTTCAAAAGGCAACATTCTTGCACGCTGGAGATGAAAATCTGCTTTATTTCGAAAAGTGTTGCCACTGCTTGCTTTCAAATAATAAAGTTTCTTAATAAAAATTTCTACGTTTTACAAAATATGAAATAAAAATAGCATTGCTAAACATTAAATATATTATTATTCTTGATTCCAAAAGTTTGTAGGAAGCCATTTTGACCATTATCATCTACAAACAACTTTAATCAGCCAAGATACTAATTAAAAACTCTGAAAATGTTAATTTTTGCAATCATTTTTCCAAGTGGCAACATTCTTGTGCGCTGGTGATAAAAATCTGCTTTATTTCAAAAAGTGCTACTACTTTCAAATCGTAGAATTTGTTAATATAAATTTTAAGTTTTAAAAAATATGAAATAAAAATAGCACTGCTAAACTTTAAACATCTTGTTATATAAGGTTATATCTGACGTTTAAGAAAGCACACGATTGCATGTGATGTTGCTGTATGTCGAAAATTTTTCATTAATGTCAGCATTTTAAATAAATAGCTGCTGTTGGCAGCTTTTTGCAATGTATTAATGCTACATTAATTCTTTTATTGATATTGAGAAAATATTGTTATATTACATTAAATTTAAATTATGACATTGTACGTATTAACCTGAAGTGTCAAAAGATTTGTTTCCTGGTTTGGCAATAAATAAATTATTAATGAATTGGTTGTTGCTTGGAAAGAATGAACTGATTTCATTCATACTGAAATGTTTCATAAAAGTGAATATGTTTTTAAGAATATTTGGGGATAACTTTTATTCTTAATATGTATAAACAGTAATTTCCTAATTTGATTGTTAAAGGTACTTTTTTTATCTACCTTTATTGTTAAATAAAATGTACTGTAGATTTCCTCATGGTTGTGTTATTTTCTCATGGTTGTGTTCAGTTGCACAGTATCAATAATGTGAAACTGCTAAAGCTATAAAAATTTCATGAATGCCATCTAATTATTAAAAGTTAATAAATTATGTATTCAAGACTTAATGAAATATTTTTATAGGGTGTACGTTTTCCTGACAAGGCTTACACATACCTAATGGATATCATTGGAAAGAAAATAGATAACCCTCTAGTTGAGCTGTACAAGAAGCGATTTCCATATTATAAAATTAAAACATCTGATGATCAGAAATCTGTTGTATTTCAACATCCAGAAGGCATGGAATTTACTGTTGAAGAATTAGTTGCTATGTTACTTAAACAAGCACAAGATATTGCTGAACATGCTGCAGGTATTTTGTTTATTATCTTAATACGTATACCTTTTTGTGCAGAAATTAATTCCACTTTTAAAATATTTAAGGATATTGAACTGTATATGTTAATTAAACCTTTTGGCAAAGCAAGCTGTCAGACTTCCTGATGATAATCACCATGAAGTATTCTGAGCATGATAAAACATGTGAATGAAATAAGTCAAAGTTTGGTGAAGTCATAAATACTTCCCAGAATGCAATATATAAAGGAGCATGGAAAACCACAGTATTTGCAGCCATAGCATATTCCTTGCAAGTGGCATGTGTATCATATAACAATAGTTTTCACTTGCAATATGGAGCAGGAGCAATGAATGCCTTGTAATCCTTGTGTTGTGCAAATATCGTTGATGGGGGTGATATAAAAGTACCCAACAGGAAACATGACATCATACATTGTTTAGCACTTTTATGAGAGTTGCTTACCTTGTCAGAGCAACAAATTTCCACTGCAGGAACTCCTCCCAAAATGAATTATCAACATTAAATAAAGTGTAGCAAATTGTCACATATTTTGAGCCAGGTGGTACAATGGAACAAAAAGAGATACAAGTTCACCAGCATATGTATAATAAAAGCTCAAATGTATAGAAAACTCAGGAAATGCAAAATTCTGAATACACAAAAATTCTGAATAAAAAGTTTTGACATAAAAATGCAATTTAAGCTATTTAAAGGTAGAAAATTAAGTGAATGGAAGAAAAATTTCTTCTCTAAAATTATGAAGAGTCATTTTATTTATTGTTTACTCTAATATCAAATGGCTAAATTTAAGTTATGTAATGTTTCATAAGGGGGAAAAAAGACATTTCAGATATAAACTTCAAAGTAAAAACATCATAATTGATTATGAAATTCTGTCAATCATGAAAACTAGTGGAAATCTTGTTAAACTTGCACCAGTCATTCCGGTAGACATTCTAAGGAGCAGATCGCTGTTTATTTAGTTAGATAATCAACATATACAAGTTATAGATGTAGCGTATAACAAAAATTACTGGTCATAATTTTTCATGTTTCCCAGCCAGTGTTTGTCTGAAAGTATGCATTTCAGTCTATAAGAAAACACACAGGAACTGTAATTTACGCTATTACTGTTGCTTATCAGTAGTTATTATAATGTGAATACTTTCCAATTTTTCCCCCATTTTCGAATTTTAAAATTTGTGTATTTCTTTAAATAGTATAAAAGAAAAGTGATTAAATCATTTTTAATGTATCCTTTAATGCAGTCTGTCTTAAACTGAGAGGCAAGAGAAATTTAAAAAATAAAAAAATAATACAGTCAAAAGTTCTTAATCCGGACTCGTCGGGACTTCGGCGATTCCGGATTATCGATTTTTCCGGATTATAGATCATCAGTTTAAATCTGGTAAGATGGCATGCAGAAATTATAAAATTAAAAATATGAAACCTTAATTTATGAAATAAAGAACAATTATGATCTAAAGTGTATCAAAATTTACAAAAAAAATAGCTTAATATTTATTTGTTCAATTTATTAAACATTTCTTTCAATGTAAGTTGTTTAAGTTGCTTCGTTTTATGTGATAATACTTTCTCTTTAATTCTATAAACAGACATAATTTCTTGTTCAGTTACAAAGTTCCGCTGTTGAAGTCCTATAATTGCTGTGTCGAGAATACCGACTAATTTGTCAATCGAAATTTTTTCGTTTTCAATAACCTCTGTGTCACTTTCTTCACTATTGGAAGCAAATTATAATGACGAGGAATTTTATTTAAATCATATCCATCTGCCCTGAAGATAAGAATAGTGCTGACAGATGAACTTCCAATTCATTACGTGCCGCGATGTCCCCCCTCCCACCACCTCCGCAGAGCATCGTGAAATTGATAAACAGATTTTGGAAGGGTTAGAGAAACAAAGGATATGCCATTATCCATTTTTTGCAGCAATTCCACTTTTTGTTTAATGGACTTCGAAACATACTTTCGCTTTGTAGATCCTTTACATATTAGTAAATATATCGGAAATTCTATTTGACATAATCGAAAGTTCAAGCTCACTTTTATAAAATTGCTCTAACAGTCTGCAAAAAATAATAAGCCAGATCCAATTCGAAGATTAAGGAACAACGCAATCTGCAACATTAACTGAATTAGATAATTTTAGCTTAGCTTATACCGTCCATTATACGCACAAGCGTAAACGTATTATGCGCATGCGCACATGCATATTCGCAGCTGTAAAGGTCTTACGCGCATGCGTAAACGCCTAAAACTGCGTCACTGCAACGCATGCGCAGAAAGTTTGTGGCTTTGAGGTCTGGATTATACATCATTCCGGATTATGGGTATCCGAATTAATGACTTTTGACTGTAATTACGAACCAGGCAATCTTGCATGTTACAACCAGCAGCAATTGCAGTGTACACAAAATCAACCTGTGGCAGTGCTGATAAGTCATGATGTCACACAGTGACATTCCATGGCATACTTTTCATGTACGGGACATATGGGGAGGCTTACTCCATTTATTCTAACCTCCTTGCTCAGCACATCATGCTTTTCATCAGTTGTCGGTACGTGCATTTAATGTCGCATTGTCATGTGCAGTTCAGAAACTAGTTGAGATGCATTTGCATGCCTTGAATAGAATGTAAAAGAGGTTGTAAACAAATATACTTTAATTAATGTTGTGTAGTTTATTAAAATAAATAAATTTATGCTTGATAAAATTTATATCAATTTTTTAATTAAATTATAATAACCCTTGTTATTCGAAAAAGTATCGATGGAAAAATTATCATGCCGCTTATGGATTCATTTGTACAACAGGAAAAAAAAATTTACACAGCTACCACAATTTATTATACGTTGCAAAATATTTTCCAACTCCAGGCTTAAACCCTCAAAGTTGTTAGAATATTTCTATAATCAAAATAGTGGTGAATCTGCAGGATATAGTCTTCACATCTTGAATCTAAGAAAGCACCATTTGATGGCACTATTGCTATTACAAATTTTAGCGTTGCAGCAATTGAAAAGCCTGCTAGAAGTTTCTTATGAAGTAGTGTCTCTGTGTGCTAAGGAAAAAAAAATTCTGATGTGTACACCACACGAATTCCATGTATGAAATATTAAATCATAGGCATTTTTTCCTGCATTCACATTCATTTAAACTTATTTCCTCGAAATTTATCAGAAATAGATTTTTTATTCAATTAATTTGGTTCTCACGTCGCGACAAAGCAAAAATACATAAAAAGTCAAAATATCTATATTAAGAATCGAAAGATATAGAAAAACTTAAAACACGAAATATTAAAACAATGAAAAAAAAAACACTTTTTACAATTAAAATTACAGTTTCTATGCAAAAAACAAGCAATTCGGTCAGTGGGCAAGAAGACTGATTTTTTGGTGCTCAAAACTGAAAGTTTACTTCTGGTCTCACTCGGGAAAAAAGACACTGAAGGCATAGAAACCGACTTAATTTGTTGTGAATGCTATGACGAGTCAATATATGAGACAATTTAATAACTTAAATGATAATTCCAGAATGTATTAAGCAGGGTTTAATTTGCAATAATCAAAGAAGTCATTACTTTGTTATTGCGAGGCTTAGTTTCTCTAGATTGGCAACAAATCCACTATTGTGCTAAGTTTCAAATATAAGCAAATATGGCTGCTAATGGTAAAAAAATTGGGTTTAGCCGCACTTAAACAACTTTTAATTGTTGATAATTTTATAACTATAACAAGCAGGTTAGCTAAAGGCATCATGCAAAAACATCATTAAATTGCATTTGATTGCGGTCAAAATGGATATTGTTGTTGAAATATGGTACCCAGAATTTTCGTGATATCAAAACTTCCTTTACTTTGTACAAGGAAGTAGAAAGAGCGATTTGCACTTGAAATTCTAAAAATTTTCAGTTCTGAATCCTAAAAGGAAATTCAACAAATTATTGATATCTGGTTGTAATGAAAGTTTTCCTCCAAAAAACATTCTGAGTAAAGTTAGGGGGATATGATTGGGGTTATATGGTGGGTGTGTGCAAAAGATCCCATTTGAGTCCATACAGAGTCTGTGGACACATGTGGTTTTGCATTATCTTGATGAAACATTAACTTTTTGTGCTGCAGCTTAGTTCAACTTTTTCATCAACACAGACTAGCATCTCGCTGTACACCTTACTGTCGAGGGTTTTACCTTTACCCAGATACTCTTTGTGGATAATACCATAGCAATCCCACCAGATGCAAGGGATGATCATTTTGTTAGTCAAATTGCACTTTCAGACACTGCCGACGGGCTCATCAGGCACAGACCAACCCTCTTTTCGGCCTGTGATGTTGAAGTAAATCTGCTTTTCATCACAAGTGATAATCCAGTACAGAATTTTGTCCTTGCGTTGGTATTCGAGCAGGTTAGGGCAGGCCCGAGCACATCTGCTCTTATCTGTTCAAGTCAGCTCATGTGGCACCCAGTGATTTAACTTGTACTTCGAGTTTATGTGATACATAGCACTACTAATGCACATGGAGTAACATCTAACTCCTTAGCAAGCTCTCGTGTGGTTGCATATTGATCTTCTTCCACAAGTTCTTGCAGGCAGGCCTCATTAACAGGCCAGCCATATATCATAGTCCTTATTTTTGGGCTTTTGATACCAAACCTTCACAGTGTCATATAATGCAACCATTAGTACCTTAAGCTGTATAATGATTTGGTGACATTCTATAGCTGACGTTTTGCAACAGAGCTGAAAGTAAATGACGGTTCTAATTCGATAGCATGATAGTTTCATTCTGTACACCTTGTATTTAATGATAATGATATTTTTGTACAAATTTCACTACACAGTGACATATAAAGCAAATTTCTTTCTTTCAAATGCCAAAAGTCATTAACAAAATACGATTAAAGGTGCCAAAGTGAACTGTTTGTGCAGATGATATTTGGGAAGATGGGAAACATTTGTTAAAACCTGATACTTTACTACAAATAGTAGAAGATATCAAAGTCAGCCCTCTAAAAATAAGCATCCAAATAGGCAAGTTAACTGATGTTGGTAATTGCAATCAGTTATTAGTATTTTTACGGTACATTAAAAAAAATACTAGAAGATTTTCTATTTTTTAAACTGCTTGATTCAAAGAAAAAATGTGTTTTTAATCACATTGAATTTTTTTTTTTAAACACCAAATACCCATGAGTATTATAGGCTCAATTTGCACTTATAGTGCCCTCACAATGTTGGTTAAAAATTGTGGATATATTTCATATATGAAGAGAAAAAATACCTAAAGTTACAGTGATGCATTGTATGTTGCATCATCGTGCACTTGCATCGAAAATTTTGTCAGAAAATTTGAAAAAATATCTAACGACAGCAGTGAATGTAGTTAAAGTACATCTGAGGACGAGCACTTGATCATCCTATTTTTCGTGCTTTGTGCAAAGAAATTGGTGCTGTTTATACTGTGCTTCATCATCATACAGAAAAATAGTGGCTTTGGAAGGATCACATGCTGACCAGGTTTCTGAATTATGCGAAAGTATTAGTTTCTTATTAGCCAAAATAGTGAATTAGTGGAAGCTTTTGGAAAAAGAGATGCATTGCTTCAGATAGCCTAACTAGCAGATATATATTTAACCATATGAATGAAATAAGCACTTCAATGGCAAGGATTTGGCAAGAACATGACATCAGCCAGTGAAAAATTAGTTTCATTTATTGAAAGTTAAAAATTTGGGGATTTTGAGTTGAACATGGGAATTTAAGCTTTCCTTTGCTGGATTCAGTCATTTTGGGGGGGAAAAAAAAAAAAAAAAAAAAAAAAAAACTATACTAAAAATTATAATACTCCTCCAGCAATTGAGTGAATCATTTGAAGGATAATTTTCCATTGGAAATATTAGCAAAATTTATAGATGGATACTCAATCCATTTTTGTTTGGTCCAAATTCATTGGATGACAATGATTTTTTTAAAAGATCTTATCAAAATACAAGCTAATGCATATATGGGAATGGAATTTGAAAAACTAGACTTAAAACAGCTGTGGTGTAAATAGAGGCTTATCACACTGTCAAAAGCAGCATCACTGACATTTTTACTATTTGCCACCACCTAATATCACGAAATACTTAATACAGCATTACGAAAATACTAATAACTGACTGCAATTATCAACATCAGTTGACTCATCCAGTTGGATGCTTAATTTAATCCGTTAACCGCCAAAACTACAAGGAATGTTTCTTTTCTCATGAAAATAATAACAAATATTAAATTAAGCATTTATAACATAAATTTACATTGAAAATAAAAAAAATGCTCTTACTTGTGAAAAAAGCGAGTGTTGCGTTCGCGCAACGTCAGCAGAATAAGACTACAGATGTTTACTGAGTAGGATTGTATTCGTGTGATGTTTCTTTTGAGTGGAGGGCAGGATAGTTTAGCTGTATAAACTTTTATAAAATCTACAAATCACTCACTTTAATTTTTTAATACTAAAATATACATTGTATTTCTTTTACAAATACAGAATATTTCAAATGAAAGATTCAAGCATGAAAAGCTCGATTGCAATCATGATGTAAAGCTACATTACTGACTTTGCATCTGTTAACAGTCTGGCTATGATACTCTTTACAACAAAGTCTTTTGTTATCAACGGACTTTACAATTGTCAATTTGACTGTTGTCAAATGCAAATTCTGCTTCATATTCCTGTACTGCAAATGTGCTATTGATTTTCGTACAACAGGAACAGAATGTCCTTATCAAAAGACCAATACATTTTTTCTTGAGGTAAAGAATGATATCCTGTAAGCAATAATATTCCAATAAATCTTCTCATGTAGACTTCAGATGCAATAAATTCTGGGCATTTTTTTTTTTTGCTGAACTTATATATTTGTCTGTTCAACGAGAAGAGAGTAAATGTCTAAACTAAAAAGAAAATCGAAAATCTGCTCACTAGTTTTACCTTGTATTTGTCTTTTATAATTTCTCTTCTATCTCTTTCTCATGTTCTTCCTGAGACATAACTAACAGTTCCTTTTTTATCCACTTCAAGATTTCAGTCTTCTGCTTTTTAAACTTTTTAGTATGACTATAACTGCTTTTAGAAGTCTGAAACTTACTTCTTATGTGAATTTCAACTTCCGCAGCAGTATCATTTGGTAAAATATCATTATCATTATTTGAAATATTGCCATCCCTTTCTTCTTTGTCACTAGCTTCTGCAATTTCTGGGGGAATAATAACAATATCAGTTTCATTCTGGTCATTATTAACATTATCATCATTTGTTTCTTCATCAAAAAATCTTTGAAGGACTTCTTCTAATGTAAGATACCTCATTCTGGGCACTTTTAAATAACCTGAACACGAACCAGAACATTAAAAGAAATGAGTGGAAAAGGAGATTGACTACCCGTTTCCTGCTGATGTTCCGTCAGTGCAACACTTGTTTTCCCTTTCTTCCCAACAAAAATATAAACATGTGACTGATGTAATGTTCTGATAAACGGTGATCTTAACTAAAAATAGATCACTCATAAAGACGGCGATTCTTTCGTTAAATATTTTCAGCAAAAATATGCGGTCAAAAATTTTGCTTAAATTTTTCTTAAAGTATGAGATTAATTATTATAAACAAAACGATTGTTGAAGGCAAATATTTTTTTACAGAAATAATCTTCATAATATTCCCTACTCAAAATCATCTGCTGATATAAAATATCTTAAGTAGTTATATTTATATACCCATTTATTTTGACCGTTGCGTCAACGCAACACCAGCGGCTAATGGGTTAAAGGGCTGGCTTTAATATCTTCTGCTATTCATAGTAAAATATCAGCACTGCGATCTTCAATGCATGATGGAATTACATCATTCCTTAGTGGAATTTGTTGAATTTTCTTTTGTGCTTCAGAACAGAACAACATCCTTACAATTTCAAGCACACATAGCTCTTTTTTCTCCTTAGCACACAGATGTACTACTTGATAAGAAGCTTTTAGCAAAGGCTTTTCGATTGCTGCAACATTAAATTTTGTAATAGCACTGCTGGCATCAAATCGTGCTTTCTTAGATTTCAAGATGTTGAGACTGTATCCTGCAGATTTACCACTATTTTGATTATAGAAATGTTCTAACAACTTTGAGGGTTTAAGCCTGAAGTTGGAAAATATTATGCAACATACAATACATGGTGGTAGTTGTGTAAAAATTTTTTTCCTGTTGTGCAAATGAATCCATAAGCGGCATAATCATTTTTCCACTGATGCTTTTTTGACTTAACGAAGGTTACTATAATTTAATATAATACATTGATATAAATTTTTATCAATGTGTAAATTTATTTAATTTAAATAAATGCTACACAACATTAATTAAAGTATATATTGTTACGAACCTCTTTTACATTCTTATTCAAGGCATCCAAGTGCATCTCAACTAGTTTCTGAACTGCACATGACAATGTGACATTAAATGCATGTACTGACGACTGATGAAAAGCATGATGTGCTGAGCAAGGAGGTTAGAATAAATGGAGTTAGCCTCCACCCTCATGTCCCATGCATGAGAATTCTGCCATGAAACATCCATGGTATGACATCACTGCTTATCACCACTGCCACAGGTTGGTTTTGTGTACATTGTAATTGGTGCTGTTTGTAACATGCAAGATCGTCTCATTTGTATTTTTATTTTTAAAATTTTTGAAAATTCTCTCGCATCACTGGAAATGCTCTCTCACCCCCAGGGATGCACGTACCCCATGTTAAAAACAGTTTTAGGAAAATTATTATGAATAAGCAACAACAACCTAGCCATCAAAATTTAAATATTGCTATTTATGTTATATAGTAATATGTATTGTAAATGAAGACGACATGTTTATGAAACCAGTGTTTTTTTCTTAAATAAAAATATACACACATTTTTTAAGAGGGTGTGAGAGCTTATTTTCAGATTCAAGTGGGTACTGACTATTAAAAAAGATTAAGAATGGCTGCTTTAATGTTTGTTTTTTGTGTTATACATATGAAATTTCCTTATTGCCTTGATTTTTTAGAATAAATTAAAATCGCAGAAAAGAAAAATTGCTTTTCGTGCTTTCTTTCAGATTTCTTAAATTTTTAAAGAGTATATTAAATAAGCATTATGTTTAGATATTCTTCTATTACTATTTAGCTGACAAACACATTGTAAGGTATTTCTCCCGCCTTCCTAGCGTGCCTTCGTGGTGTAGTAGTCAGCACATTGAGCCGGTTTTTCAGAGGTCTGTGGTTCTGTTCCCGATGAAGGCGTTGCCAATTTTTCATCTCTCCGGCTTTTCCAATTTACCTAATGTCTCTACAGTGGCACCCGAACTAAATGGGTTGTGGATGATGACTCCCCACACCCAGGATTTGGCAATTGGGTTCCTTAAAAGGAGGAGTATAAAAGGTATTTCTCCAACCTTCCTAGCATGCCTTTGTCGTGTAGTGATCGGCACACTGAGTCGGTATTTCGGAGGTCTGTGGTTTGATTCCCGGCGAAGGCGTTGCTAATTTTTCATCTCTTCTGCTTCCAAAAATTACCTAATGTCTCTACAACCTATAGAAAATCTAATTCACTAATGGGATGCAAGGTGTTTTTTGAATAATTTTGGCTGATGGAAAATGGGATTTTCCTGCCTTGCAGTGGTGGGCAACAGAGGATTTATGCGTTTCTTTTGTTCGAACTTAAGCATCATGCTTTTTTGCATGAAAATTTAATTATATTTTTTAATATTTAATGTTACAATATATGTTGTACACATTTCATAAAACAAATGTAAAAGTTATGTAAATTTGTAATGAAATATTTTAATATTCTGGTGTCATGTTATTCACCTGAAGTAGAATCCTAATGACTGGATTAAAATTTTAAGTGTAATTGTCAAGTCATTTTTATTATATTAAAATTTTTATTTCAGGTCAGCCAATTAAAGATGTTGTCATTACTGTTCCACCTTTTTTTAATCAAGCAGAACGCAGAGCCATGTTGCAAGCTGCCAGATTATCTGGTTTAAATGTGCTTCAGTTGATCAATAGTAATACTGCTGGTAAGCAAACATTTTGAATTTGTTAATAAAAATTCTATAGAGTACTTAAAATTAGTTTTAAACTGAGTACCAAGTCTGTGAGTGGCAATAATAATTTTTACTGTAAAGAAATAAAATTTCAGTTCATGGAGAACTTGGAAAATTTATCAGCAATTTTTATGTATCTGGCAAATGAATATTTTGACAAAAATGCACTATATTTTTAGTATTTTTTAACTGAACTAAAAAATTTCACTACTTTAATTAATTCAGCAGTTTCTGCAAGTACGCCAGCCTTTTTCATGCAGAATATCTTTGAGCTGATTGCCACATTCAAACAAAAACAGGCAAAAATAAAAGAAATCATTTGTAAATAGATTTTGAATTATGCAAGTCATTTGAGCTTTGGCTATTGGTAGAAATAAATTTTTGGTGAAACTTGACTAGCTTGGTAATTTGTTATATCTAACGTAACTTTTAGTGTTTGTAAAATACTTTTGATTCTTTTTAGTTTTTAAATTGATTTATATTATGATTATTTATAGGTATTCTCTTATTTTTGAGTTAAATATATTTGTGTTATCTATTATATTTTTAGTGTTTTATTTAGTTTTTTGGAATTTTTTTATGTATAGTAAGAAATAAACATTTTCTTTCAGTTGCCTTAAATTATGGTGTTTTCAGAAGACGTGATTTCAATGAAACTCCAACGAACATTTTGTTTTATGATATGGGTGCTGGTAGTACAGTTGCCAGTGTAGTAACATATCAGCTTATGAAATCTAAAGAAACAGGAGAGATTAGTCCACAGTTAACAGTTAAAGGTGTTGGGTAAGAAATTTTTCCTGTACATAGTAATATGTAGCAATATTAATATAGTAAACAAATTCATGGACATTTTTTCCTTTTGTTACAGTTATCTTAGCTATAATTAATCCAGGACTTTATTTAGACATGGCTTTTGCTGATAAAAATATTTTATTATGCAAATGATGTAGCCTTCTCTGAAACAATACATTATTACAGAGTTATACATTAATAATATAGTTATTCCTTTTTGATATTTTCTAATTCACATTGTTTATTTAAAAATATATTCATTGCTTTTTCGTAAATATAACATTAACAGTCCAAGTAATGAGGTAAATGCCATATAATTTTTTTTAAGAAAGAGGTCTTTTACCTAAAAAAACAAGTACGCGAAAATGGCCACTACATGAAACTTTATGTTCATGATGAAACCATTTGGAGGTGCAATATAAAAAATTTCAAAATGAAGAAGGGCCTCTGTGATGGAAATTGGTTCAGTGGTTCCAGAATACCATTCGTCACTGCTATTATATTTATGTATTCTTGGCACAAGTGTTGGCGTCCGTGAAATGGTATAAACTGCTGAATATGTGCGAAATTCCTGCAGTTGACTGGAACAACTGCATGTGGTAATAATTATAAGGATAAGAATAAAGGATTCTTAAAAATATTCTTAGGAAATGACATGGGAGTATTATTATCATTATATATTGTATTGTTTATTTTTGCATTTGCATTTCATGGGCTTGGTGAAATTATAGCTGAGATTCTGGTGCAAATCTAAACTCACAAAACATGGTTGGGGGCTGCTATAACAAAAAAGCACCTTAACTTTTATCACATTATTTTTTTTCTTTTTCTCTGTTAATAATAAAAGTTACTGGTTACTTTCTGATTATCTGCCTTGCTCTTCCCAAAAAATCGCGGACAGATTTTTGAACCGGTAAAAAAAATTTTATTTTCATGATGGCTCATAGATGCTGATCTGTTTATCTAGAATATTTTGCATTTTATAAGAAATTTTACGACAAAAAAACAAAGATCTATGTAATTGATGTTTGCACTTTTATAGCTGATGTATACCATTCAGTCAAATGGCACCTAAATGTAACGTATGTAAATCCATGTGTGATATGCACATAATGTTGGCTGGCTATTGTCGTATATATGTTTGCATAGATGCCAGAAACATGATAATTCTACGAAATGTCGAAAATGTGGTGCGAATAATCAGAAATTACCAATTATTGTAATGATTGAGAATTTTGCTTAAAAGATATGCAGTGCAAGTCTGAGATCTGGACTGTTTGGGACTTAAGCGATTTCAGATTTGGAGTTTTTCTGGATATTAGAGCATCAATTTAAATATTAAGATGACATGTAGGAATTATAAAATTGGAAATGTAAATTGTTGTTTATGGAGTAATGAAGGTAAACTGATGACCATAAATAAATCGGAATTTACAAAAAATTCTCATATTTATTTATTTTCTCTATTAAACATTTCTTTATGTGCCAGTTGTGTTAAGTTGCTTTTTTGTGATAATACTTTCTGTTTAATGCTATAGACAGATATAATTTCCTGTTCAGTTAATAAAGGTACATTGTAACTGTCATGTCAAGATTTCTTTTTAAATTGTCAATCAAAATTTTTTCATTCTCAACAGTCTCTCTGTTACTTTTTTCACTATAAGTAGTGATATTTTTTGGATTTAGAATTGTACAGTCAAAAGTCGTTAATCCGGACTCGTCGGGACTTCGGCGATTCCGGATTATCGATCATCAGTTTAAATCTCGTAAGATGGCAAGCAGAAATTCTAAAATTAAAAATATGAAACTTAATTTATGAAATAAAGAACAATTATAATCTAAAGGGTATCAAATTTACAAAAAAAAAAAAAAAAAAAAAAAGCTTAATATTTATTTGTTTACTTTATTAAACATTTCTTTCATGTAAGTTTTTTTAAGTGCTTCGTTCTTCGTTTTATGTGATAATACTTTCTCTTTTAATTCTATAAACAGACACAATTTCTTGTTCAGTTACAAAGTTCCGCTGTTCAAGTCCATTAATTGTTGTGCCGAGAAAACGACTAACTGTCATCGAAATTTTTTCGTTTTCACTAACCTCTCTCTCAATTCTTCATGCCTTTATCCCATTTTTGCAGCAATTCCCATTTTTGTTTAATGGACTTCGAAACATACTTTCGCTTTTAGATCCTTTACTTTAGTAAATATATATCGGAAATCTATTTTGACATAATCGAAGTTCAAGTTTACTTTTTAAAAATTGCTCTTACAGTCTGCAAAAAATAATAAGCCGGATCCAATTCAAAGATTAAGGAACAACGCAATCATCAACATTAACTGAAATAGATAATTAGATAATTTTAAATTATTTCCGTCCATTATACATAAAATGTGCACGCGAAAACGTATTCTGCGCTTGTGCACATGCATATGCGCAATGCTAAAAGGTCTTACGCGCACGCGTTAATGCCTATGCGCATGTGTCAACGCGGCGCATGTGCAGAAAGTTTTTAGCTTTGAGGTCCGAATTATAGATCATTCCGGATTATGGGTGTCCGAATTAATGACTTTTGACTGTACTAGAGATTTCACCATCCATTGATTGATTGATTATTGCAGTATTGTCATCACAGTGGAAAATTTCTGTTATATTATCTTCATTTTGCCATGCACTTCATTAATTAGAAAATTTCACCTTTTGTTTGCTATATCAGAAACCTTCAAATTCACAGCTATCATTGCAAAACTTAGCTGAACAGAACAACAAATTGAAGAAAGAGTTTCTGCATTTTAAGGACAAATTGAACAAAAAATTGAGGACAAGGTTTCTGCTGCCATCAGCAAAGAAGTTGACACCTTAAAGAAATGCATTGCAACAGCAGGAAACAATCCTGATGGTTTAAAATTTTTAAACGTGCCTTCTAGTCCCTCTTTGAAGCTATCCACATATGATGGTAAGACCTCATGGCGAGTTCATAAGACACAATTTTCTATAGTGGCGGATGTGAATGGATGGGATTCTCAAGTTAAAGCTTGTCATCTCTCCAGTTCTGTGAGAGCAAATGCAGTGTATATCCTTCAAACTCTGTCCAGCTTTTTGGGGAGAAGTGTATGAAAGATTATAGCAAGCTTCAGTTAAACTCTTGGCAACAGAAGCCCATTAAAACACTCCTGGAGCTCACCACGGATCTTGAAAGGCTGTCTCACCTCACCTTTTCTGACTGTCCATCAGAAATAAGGAAAATTCTGTCCCTGCAATACTTCTTCTATGGCATACAGAATCCTGAGATACAGAAAGCCCTGTAAAAATAGTGGGTGTCAAGGATTTAAAAAATGTTCTAGTATGTCATGAAATTTGAGACATCCTTAAAAGCAACTCATACATATCCCAGTAAGCACTCAATAACCCCAGTAAACACCCAATCAGAACTGCTCAAGTCTAAGAGCCAGTGGATCAACTGACTGTTTGTCTAGACAATTTAACAGACAAGTGCCTTGATACAGAACAGGAGTGACAAGAAACCAACCCTTAAATGCTGGAACTGCAGTGCTGTAGGCCACCTAAGAAGGAACTGCAGAACAACACCTCAGGGCATGGAAGCTAAGACCGCTCCCCAGCAAGCATGCAAGAAGCAAATTAGTGTCCATTTCACAGAGTGGTGGTTGCCAGATAATGAAAAGCTCCGTTTTAAAGTGCTTCAGATTTCTACGATGAGTGGCGGCAGTAATGGAATCTTCATCGTGGGATATATCAGTGGAGTTCCTTGCGGTATGACCATCAATACAGGAGCCAATGCTACCATCATCCAAAAAGAAATTTGCTCAACAATTGAAAAGTAAATTCAACTAGATGCTGCCATACATTACCTTCTAGAGTGTGTCCAGGAATAAAATCGGCATCAATAGAAAAATTAATCATGTTTGGAAGTGCCGTCTAACATTACACATCAGATGTAGCAAATATTATCAACCCTTGCATACTCAGACTAGATGTTCTACGGAAATACAATTTTACCTTATACGTTAAATAATGAAGTGCATTCTGCCTCTGAGGACAGAATCCTATTTACAATTAATGGTGGAGGAGGGAAAGCTGTCCACAAATCATAGCTCAGGACAATACCACAGTATAAGCAAGAACAAAATGTTTACTTCCTGGATCTGTAGCTGAAAATAGAAGTTTTCAGTTTAGTGTAATGAAGTATCCCAAGAACTATAGCACCCCAGGAGGAATGCTAGTAGCCTCGGCACTAATCGACTTATTAAGGACCGTTATCCCAGTGAGAGTTGCCAACATGAGCAATAAAGCAAAAATCACTATTAAAGGCAAATTAGTTGCAGCATGTACTCTCCAGTGACCTGCATTACATGAAACAGTTACCCTCCAGAATTCTGTATCTTCAGAGAAAATACATCGAAATTGTTGCAGAATACACAACTAAGCAATGAAGAGGAGTGGCTTCATTCAAGAATTTCAAAATCCTGGTCATCTTCAGATGTAGGTCAAACCAGTTTTACACAACATAGAATTGGTATAGGGGATCATCCACCAATCAAGCAACATCCAGGGTATCTGCTAGTTACTAAACAGGAAGAGGTAGGAAAACTTCTGAAGGATATGCAAGAAAATTATGTTATCGAAGCCTTCAGCAAATCCTGGGGCCTCTCCCATCATACTGGCCAGAAAAAAAAAAATGGTTCAACTATATTTTGCATTCACTATTATTGGTTGAGGTTATGAAGAAATACAACTACCCTTTCTAGAATTGATGATATTGTGGGTGCTTTTTCTGGAAGGAAGTGGATTTTAATGCTTGATTTAAAGAGTGGATATTAGCAGATATACATCCTGATGACCAAGAAAAGACAGCTCTATCTACTGGACTGGACAGTTCAAGGTGTTGCCATTTGAATTATGTAATGTGCTGGTAACATTCAAATGCCTCATGGAGACCATGTTGAGAAGTTTTTCCTATGAAGTCTACATGATGTACCTGGATGACATCATCATCGTTGGGAAAACTTTTGAAGAGCATTTAGAAAACCTTATAAAGGTGCTTCAGAAACTGAAAGAAGCCACTCTAAAGTTATGTCCTGCCAATTGTAAACTATCAGACAGGAAGTTACTTACCTTGGACATGTCATCTCAGCTGAAGGTGTATGTTCAGATCCAGGAATAGTGTTAACAATTAAAGGCTGGAGTCGCCCCGAAAATGTCCATCAGCCGAGAAGTTTACTAAGGCTTTGCACCTACTATAGGAAATTTGTGAAGGATCTTTTCTGTCATCGCAAGACCTCTTCATAAGCTGACAGACAGCAAGTAGAAAATTTTGTAATACAGAAGACTGAGGATGTGTTTAACAAACTGAAAGAAGCTTTAACATATGCGACAATCCTAATGTGTTCTCATCTCATTGAACCATTTATTTTTTATGTGGATGTGAGCAGTGAGGGTGTTGGTGCTGTTTTATGCCACAAAATAAATTGTCAAGAATGTGTTGTAGCATACTGAAGCAAGTGTATGTCTAAACCAGCGATCGAGAGGAATTGCTGTGTCATCAGGAAAGAGTTGCTCACAATAGTTAAAGCCGTAGAACATTTTCATCATTATCTCCATGGCAGAAAATTCCTGCTGTGTACAGATCATGCATTATTGACCTAGTTATTAAATTTCAAGAATCTCGAAGGTCAATTCCGATGATGTTATGTCATACTTCTAGAGTCTCTGTAACCAGATGGATACAGAGACTCCAGAAATATGACATAACTATCCATCATCAGAATTGGTCATCACATGGAAACATCAGCACCCTGTGTAGAAGATCCTGCCCAGAAAGTTGCCAGTATTGTTTCAAGTTCAAAGCAAAATATGAGCTGCTTAGTCTGCTCATATGTCAAGTTATTAATCCAACATCTTTGACCGAGACACATGGAATGATCAAGTCAAAAAAGACCAATTGGAAGACTGTAGTATTAAACCCATAATTGAATTAATGGAGTCTTGGAAAGGAAACCTACCTGGCAAGACATTTCGATCTATAGTCCTACAACAAAGCAATATTGGGCTCTGGGACTCGCTCCATATTTGAAATGCTGTCTTGTAAGTTCGAAATAAATGATGGAAAGGCATTCCAGTGGCAGCTGATACTTTCAAAATCCTGGATGTCCATAAAGAATTATATAGCAGCCCTGTAGGAGGCAACTTTGGAATACTAAAGACTTTGCATGGAATTCAAGAGGCCTTCTACTAGAGTAATGTAAATTCTGATGTGCAAAAGGGGTGCCAATCGGGCTATGTTAGGGCAGATCAGAAAGGACTGAAGAAGCATAGCCAAGGGAAGCTGCAATTGTGCAATGTAGGAATGCCTTTTGGTCATATTACATTTGACATCCTGGGACCTCTACTTTGAACTTCTGGATGGCAACAGATATATAATCGTCATTGATGACTTCAAGTGGCCTGAAGCATATCCTATTCCTGATCAAGAGGCTATCACAGTAGCAGAAGTAATGATACAACATTGGATGGAGCTAATGAGTCCATCCAAAATCTCCAGGCATGGTTTGAAATGATGCAAATTTTGCACGAGAGCGAGTGCATCATTGGTCCTATGTGCATTCAGTCTATTACTAACCTGCATGCATGCAACAGTATTAAAGTTAAGACACAATAACATGCCGAATAAATACTAATTCAGAAGTCAAACAACAAAAATCAGCGTTATATTTACAAAATTTTCACAGGACTAGTTTCGATGGTTTTACCGAACTATCAGCATCTCAGCTGCAAAACCGCAAATGAACCGAGATTGGAATATAATGATTAGATAAGATAAGATAAAAAAGCCTGGACAGGAGATAAGCATACTGGCGCCATCTGCTGGATGAAACCAGAACTAAAACATAATTTCTTAAAGGCCGAAGCAGATGAAACATGATCCAGGTGGAAGACTGGATTTTTCTATAGAGGGCATTTCACATTCATAAAAATCTTTCGTTAACTAGAAGACGAAATCCTATATTTTCCAATCCAAATGTGAAATCGGCCTCTAGAAATTAATGTTTTAGTTCTGGTTTCACCAGCAGATAGCTCCAGTAGCTTATTACCTTGAACAGGCTTTTTTATCTTATCTTATCTAACCATTATAGCCTATCTCGTTCATCTGCGCTTTTGCAGCTGAGGATGATGGTTCAGTAAAACCATCGAAACTAGTCCTGTGAAAATTTTGTAAATATAACGCTGATTTTTGTTGTTTGACTTCTGAATTAGTATTAAGTTATTATGTGAAGTATAAAAAATTGTATTAATTGGTTATATGCCTTATTAGTAACCATCATATACTGTTTTAAAGTTACAATAGATATAGTTTCATGACTAACATGTCCTCAATTTTCAGTTTTGATCACACTCTTGGAGGACTTGAAATGCAACTCAGATTGAGGGACCATTTTGCCAAAGCTTTTAATAAAGCCAAGAAAACAGATTCAGATGTTTTTGAAAATAGCAGAGCTATGGCAAAACTTTTCAAAGAAGCTGGAAGGGTAAAAAAGGTTCTTAGTGCCAATACAGAACATATAGCCCAGGTAAATTTGTTATTTAGATTTATCTCTAAAAATCTTTACTAGTTTTCATGAACATTTTTGTATATTTCACTGTCAGGAAACTGAATTTGATATTCAGTTCTTTTAAGGGATGTACATGAACTTAGAATTACCAGTTTTACTCAATCTTTATCTAAATAAAGAAGGTCTATTTAACTGTAGACAGAACATCAGAATTTTACCATTGATTGTACTGGTATAGTTCTGCCCTAATTTTGAAGAAGAACACTGATGAAGATGGTCGGAGGATTTTGCATCCCTCTTCCCCTACCCTTCAAGAGGACTTTTGGCTTGCCTTGTATTTTGAGTGTTTCCTTGCTGCACAGATGCTTACAAACATCTAAACCTGTGTCATCGATGTGGCACTCGCTAACCACTGTACTGTCTGGGTGGCTGGATCTACTTAACAGCTGAATATTTATCATTTTCCATTAAGGTATGGGCATCTTTATGCTTAGAATGCCCTTTTTAAGATTCCTTTTCTTAGAGAGTGGTCATTTTTTATAAAGGTACCAGCACCTTTATAAAAAGGCATTACTATGAACCAGTCCCATCCGCAAATACTTAAAGCACAGTATGGATAAATACTTAAAGCACAGTATGGGTAAATAAGGATGGAAAATTAAGGGATAATAGTTTCTAAAGAACATTCATATTATTTAAGATCATCCACTTTGCTGCAAGCAGAAGCAGGGTAGTTGGCGATGCTTCAGATGAGGAGTTTGCAATTTAAATCCACTTGACAACAGTTAAGAACATTATTAATTTTTAATATTTTATTTTCAAAGAAAATTTATCATCTGAAGCATCGCCATCGAAAAATAGTACAAAAATTATGTAATGCAAAAATTTCAGTAGAGAAGCAGTTTTTATCCTAATTTATTATATTTTTCCACCAGTTTGCTTAATACATGATAATTATCATAAAATCATTCAAAATATGAAATACTGGCATAATGTGTATTGGATGAGATTTTTCGGTTTTTAATATATGTGCATGTGAAGTATAAAACAGAAATATGGGTCATAAATATTTGTTCAAAATAGGATGACATTAAGAAATTAATAATACTGATAAAAATTATGTTCAGCTGTACTTATACATCTCATTTGGAGCACTGTACATTACCAGCTAGGTTTTTCAGTGCTTGTAGCAAACTAAGGAACGTATGTGTGAATCTCATTTTGGCTTACTTACTTTTTATACATTCTGGCTTAATCTTGGGCTCGATTTTTTTCACTTGTTTCTAAATGCTCATTATAGTTTTGCAAATGTATTCACTTTTAAGATCTAAAACTATGCAAATTGAGTAAAACTGGTGAGCTCAAGTTCATGTGTCCAAAAAATATTTGTTTAATTTTGTGTTAATTTTTAATGGCAGTATATGCAAGGTGTTTGAAAAAGATGTTTACAAGCTTTATTTTCTAAAATATTGTTTCTAGGCATATATTTTCAATATAAAATTTCTCAAAGGTAAGATAAATATATTGGAACATTTTCAGTATTATAGATGGAATTTTGTAATATATTTTTTAAATTCTCTACCAGGCCTAGGCATGACCACACTTAGGTTTGTGATGAGCAGTCCAATTTAATTCAGGAACATTAAAGAAAATGAAATAATTTTTCATAGCATTAGGCATTGCCACATTATTAAATCCAGAGAAAGTGTCCAAATGGTCACCACACATGTCATCAATATTGCATAATAGGCAAGATGGAGAGTTTGCTAAACCAGATCTTTGTAGGTGTTTCATGAGGTAGTCATGTCCAGTTTTTAATCTAAATTTAGCAACACTGACAGGTCTAGGTAGGTTGTAAGTAATGGGATTCTCCATTAGGGAATCCCAAATCTTCTCCTTCACAGAGTTTCCGTTCTTCTCTTGGAGGTGAGATCTGGCTTCAATGATTCTCTTAGCACTGTAATAGCAAACACGAGGATTGGGTTGAAGAAGCACAGATCCAACTTTGGCCAGAGTCTCAGCAAACTCAGTATAAGTAACCTAGTATAAGATTTATATGTGGAAAGAGTAGATTTTGGGTAATACTCCAATTTACATTGCTAAGCCCTTTATGAAGTCTGTTTCTTGTGTTGCCTATACCGAGTATCCTGCTGGCGTGTTTTTTCCAACTTAGCCTGGAATCCAAAAACAATTTCCAGCTAAGTAGATGGAGTTCTGTGGAGCAGTTGGTCTCCATAAAATGATTCTTATCTCCTTAGGTTTGAAACTGAGGATAAAAACCTGAAAAGGCTGTCTTGCTTGTATTTACAATCATTTTTTTTTTTTTTTTTTAATTTTTATTATTATTATTATTATGTCAAAAGCACATGAAGAGCAATGTTTAGAGAATCCTGGATAATATGGATGTCTCGGTCAGCAGATCAAAGAATAGAGTCATCAGCAATGAGAAGGGTTGGCATTCCAGGATGTGAATTCATAATATAGGAAATAATATCATTGATCATGATGTTGAAGGAAACAGGACTCTGGATTGAACCCTGAGGAAGCCCTTGTCTAGTTTATCTATAGGCAGAGGCAGCTGATCCAGATTTAGTTCTGATAAAGTACTGGTCCAGAAAAGAATCTGGCTGTACATATTTCCACAATATCGATTAATTTTCTGAGCAGCCCTTTTCTCCATACTGTATCAAAGCTCGTCTGGAAGTCAACCAACACTGCTACAGTACTTTTTTTAAGATGAAAGCTATCTTTTATCCCCTGTGTGAGTCTTGCTAACTGTTCAATAGTATTTCTATATTTCCTAAAACCAGCCCGTATATCAGAAATACAATAGAATTTCTAAAGATAGTAATTGAGTGTATTTACAATGAGACAGTCAGTCAGTTTACACATTGCACTAGTTAAGTGATATTGAACAAAAGCTAGTCAAAACATTTGGGTCTTTACCAGTTTTGAGAATAGGTATATCATTTCTATTTTATGCCACAAACTGGGAATACCTGTAGTCCAAGTGAAGTCTTACTCAGACTTGTTAGACTTAATTACAAGATTACAAGATTAATGAGAAACTGCTGCAAGATTCCATTCAGTCCTGCACTTTCTTTGTGGCAATTGCTTAATGCCACATTTGATTTCCCATTCAGAAAAAGGTGAATTAAAAATGTTGTGCATTTCTTGATTTTTGCAAGTCTGTGGACAATTAGGAGATCTTTTGGGATTCTAGCAAAAAAAGATAATTACTTAATGTGGCATAGTGAGCATTAAAAGGCACAAGCTATTTCTTTCTCACTTGTTAGAAATTTATCTGTAAACCTAATGGGTTCATTTCTTTTCTCTTTTTGATTATTGAGCCTAAGCAAGATGCTCACATGGCCTCTTGACGAAAGTCAAGGCTCTCTACAAAACCACAAAAGGCACGATGCTTGACCTCTCTAATTGCTCCCTGCAGGCAGGCTTATTGCTTTTGATGTTCTATAGTCCTTCATCAGGCAAGTAGAATCAGCCCTATCTCTAGCCACATCTTTATTTCCTTAGGATCTGCAGATCTTTGTTCCAAAAAGAATACTACTTTCTCCTTTGACCTCTTGGTATGCACTCAATCACAAAAGTCAAGAAAACATCAGTAAAATTGCATATGGCTATGTCAGCTTTACCTGACACAAAAAATTCCAACATCAAGTAATCAGTTAGCACTTGATCTCTGGTCCAATCTGCTTTTTTCAGGTTCCAATGGGAAAAATATGACTCTCTGTACATGCCAGAACCAGAGTTAAGCTCAGCGATAAGTATTTTATGTCCTGCTCCACCAGGCACAGGTGGGAGCATGTATATAATATGATTCATTAAATTAGGATGGGCTAGCAATAAATCAGGATGTGATGTTGCAGGCCCAAAGGACAAAAAGGTAGGAGAACTCTCCTGATTCTTAACAACTTCAAAAGGGGCTGAGTGAATAAAATTTTTAACTGTGATCCAAATTAGATCAATAGAACTATAGCTCCATTTTTGGGAGTAGATGTTAAAGTCTCCTAAAATCAAGGAGTGCTGGTTCCATCTATCAAGCAAGCACTCTAAATTAGAGTGGTTATTTGGAGGATTATACAGAAAAGAAGACAAATTAATGTAAACCTGCTTTCCAAGCATTGATCTCAACAGCTTCCAATTTGTCAGAGTTAGTCATTGTATATTGTCTAACAGTCATACTTGCAGTAAAATAGTCTTTAATATACACAATAATACCAGAAGCAACCTGGCGAGCACGTTGCAAATGGAAAGTCTGATGTCCATTTATATGGTAAAAATCCAAGTTCTCAATAGAAGCACTACTCTCAACAATGCACCTCAAGTCAATATTCTGATTAAAAACAGTAAATTTCAGTTCATGGAATTTGTCACAAATAAAACCACCAGCATTCCATAAGAGCACTCTAACACCATTTATGGCAGAGCTTTGAAAAAGGCTACAGAAGAAGGCGACAAAACATGTTTGTCACTAAAAACTGTAGAAGGCTGCACAGGGTGACAAATGCCAGTCGCTTAGTGAAAACAGAGGCACCATGAGTAGGCGAATGACATCATCCCCATTTTGTAAATATGAAATCTAGCTTTTTTAACAGTTCTAATCGATCAAGAAGTCTGGTGATAAAATGTTCATTATAAAATGCTATATTAAATAAAACATTTTTTCCTTTAAAGGACAAAATTCATGGATGTATTTGAGAATGAATTTGCTGACACATTTTTGTTGCCTAATACTGAGTTCTATAGAAAATATTTTGACCAGGCTTAAAGGGAAAAGCTGCAACATAAAGGTCTCTTTAATAAATAATAGGTTTATATTGAATAAAAGTTAATTTTAATTAATTTTGTAGCAGACCCTTTGAAGCTGTTAGCTTATAGCTTTGTAAATATTGTGCATAAACTTACGGAACCATTCTACCTAAGTGTGGAAAATTTTTTTTTTTCAAGTTCTCTGTTTTATTTCAAGAAATTTTGCAATTGGCAGAGCATCTGTAAAATAATTTCTTAATTCCCAATATCCCCCCCCCAACTTATCCACTGAAAAAATTCAGTTGCATCTTTCACCTTAGACTATCTTTTCAACAGTTGTGTAGTTATTTATTTTGCACGACTGATACATGGTATAAAAGGATTCATTCCTTTGCCCTTGTGAAACCATGACCTTATCTCACTGTTTTCTTTCTTGTGTCACACACACATACACACAAAAAATATAAATAAATAAAATAAAAACCTGAAAGCTTTCAGATTTTACATTACACACGAAGGGGCTTTTTTAATGTTTTGAGTGTTATCTTTATTAAATATCATGTTCTTCATACATAAACCATAAAATTCAGTTCAACAGCAATATCACAAAATAATTTTAACACGAGCATATCTTTAGAATTTCTAATTCACAGTCTTGAATGCTGGAGATAAAAATATATTTTTCTCTGTACAGTGTTGCCATCATTTGCTTTGAAATCCTTGAGTTTGTTAATCAAAAATTCGTTAAAGTATTACAAAATATGAAATCAATAATAAAAACAAATTCCAAATTAGGGCTTCCATATGCCCATATTCTGTGGAGGATTGCGTTATTCGAAATTTGATGGCTCTAGTTACTGTTATTTTATCACAGTGCAAGAAACATACATACATTTATGCAGATTCTTAATTATTTAATTTCTTTAAATATAACGCAGGACGATAATATTTGGTGGTAACAATTAAAAAAGTGAAATGGACATTAAATTTTTCAACGCAAAGTGCCAAAATGAAATTAATACCCGTTTTGGGCTAACGCCCTTTGGCCTAAAAAATCTACCTCTAGGAATGGATCTGAAGCTTTTCTATTTTCTGTGCTCCTGTAAAATGTTAAATTAGTGTGTGTGTATACTGTAAAAGTAATATCAAGATCATGCATAGCCACCTTTATGAATTATATCATTGGAATCAATTTCATTTAAGAATGTAAATCACCATTTTAGAGTTTCTTGTGCACCCTAAAAGGGTGTACAGACTTTCTAGAAGCAGGAACTCCTGATCACTGCAGCATTTTAGAATGTGTGTTAGCTAATAAATGCCAACAAAGTATTGCAGAATATATTTCATAACATTTGCTATGTAAGTGTTGCTATTATTTTTCAAGCCTTGCATTGTGTTGTTGTTGCATCAGGGCTTAATAATGTAGTTCCAGATCATGTTATTCTGTACTAAATTTATGCTTTTCTAATACATATTTTGAAAAATATTATAAATATTAAAATCTCAGTTTAAACCTGTGTTAGGCACATACAGTGGATGGACAAAAATATAGAAACACCTTGTGAAATGCATGTTTGAAAAGAAAGATTGATTTTAATGAAATATGTCGGTGGCGCTGGCGTTTTTGACTACTGACGCCACCTAACTCGCTTCCAAACTGTTCCTGAGATTCTTGCGGCAGTAGACTGGTCCATTCAAACTATCAACAAAACAGGTGCGGCTACAGGTATTCTGCGACTTCCACATCGTTGGAAACGGGTTGTACACAATGCTGGCGACTATATTGAAGGACTGTAAAACATGGTGACATCAATCACTTTTGTATTCCTTGTAAATAAATAGTTGCCACTATTAAAGTTCCAATCCTTGTGTATGAATTATTTTTTGTAGTAATTGGGTGTTGTAAGTAATTAATAACAGCTTAGTTTTCAGATTTTTGGTTATTTTTGTTCTTAGTTTATAGTAGGTATTAAACATCATGTCCCTGCAAGAGATCTGCATGTGGATATATACAGCTGTGTAAATAATAAAATAGATATAGCTACTTTTCCGTTTTGCCTGCGCAAACAATAAAGTCGCCAATAATAGTACGACTGATGTCAAACAGAATGTCTTTGCTGGTAACCTTTTACGCTTCAGTTTCAAAACAAGTCACAGCCATTTCTTATCAGATTGATTGTTTCTTTCAATACTGGCATACAATTACATAGAATTTTTACAAGACAGTTAAATTTTATCACCTAAGACAATTCGTGGTAATTAAGTCAATTCGAACGCAATCACACCGCTCACCCGAAGGCAAAAATATAGAAAAGGCAAAATCAAGTGTTAAATTCATCAATTCTAATGAGAATGCACTAGTGAAGTAAAGCACTGCGGTTTTACATGATTTCTGAGTAAGCTTTTTGAACAAATTGAAACAATTCTTGGGTTAAAATTGTATTCCAAATTAAGATTTAACTTGAAATTAATATAGATAATTACTGAGAGAATTAGATTTTTGTTGCTTAGTTTATGTGAGATGAGATTACTTGGGGCCACGTGACCCGAACAAGCGAATCAGGATTCCTTGTAAATAAATAGTTGCCACTATTAAAGTTCCAACCCTTGTGTATGAATTATTTTTTGTAGTAATTGGGTGTTGTAAGTAATTAATAACAGCTTAGTTTTCAGATTTTTGATTATTTTTGTTCTTAGTTTATAGTAGGTATTAAACATCATGTCCCTGCAAGAGATCTGCATGTGGATATATACAGCTGTGTAAATAATAAAATAGATATAGCTACTTTTCCGTTTTGCCTGCGCAAACAATAAAGTCGCCAATAATAGTACGACTGATGTCAAACAGAATGTCTTTGCTGGTAACCTTTTACGCTTCAGTTTCAAAACAAGTCACAGCCATTTCTTATCAGATTGATTGTTTCTTTCAATACTGGCATACAATTACATAGAATTTTTACAAGACAGTTAAATTTTATCACCTAAGACAATTCGTGGTAATTAAGTCAATTCGAACGCAATCACACCGCTCACCCGAAGGCAAAAATATAGAAAAGGCAAAATCAAGTGTTAAATTCATCAATTCTAATGAGAATGCACTAGTGAAGTAAAGCACTGCGGTTTTACATGATTTCTGAGTAAGCTTTTTGAACAAATTGAAACAATTCTTGGGTTAAAATTGTATTCCAAATTAAGATTAAACTTGAAATTAATATAGATAATTACTGAGAGAATTAGATTTTTGTTGCTTAGTTTATGTGAGATGAGATTACTTGGGGCCACGTGACACGAACAAGCGAATCAGGATTTGAACCATGAAGGCATAGTAAATTCTTAAATTAATGTTTTTTGCAAATTTATTATTTTTATTTATTGGCTTTTTACAAAATTTTAAAACATATTAAAATTTTTATGCCTTCAAAATAAATTCTTAGAATTAACATTTGTTAACATTTTTTATGTGTATACTGTATGTTGTCGCCAACAAAGTCTGCTTGGTGAAATTTGTGCCGGCGAAACATAAAAGTACCTAGATATAAATATTCTGTAACGATATGATAATTCTTAGTGTAGTGGTGAATTTTGTTCTGTAACTGCTGCATAAAATGTCAGAAATCCAAATTTTGTCTAATCTAAAATTTGTCTTCTGAAATTTAAGACATAATTGAGTAAGAATACCTTACTAGTCTATTGTGGTGACTTTGTATTGGTAATTTTAGTTTATATTTTTACATGTTACATATTTTTTGCGGAATTAAAAAAAAAACTTCTAAACATTTTTTAAAAATAAATTTTATGAGTGTGCTGATGGTATACATTGATTAGTAAATTGTTTTAAGTACATATTCTCTTGAAATCTTATCTGTATTAAAAGCTTATGAGTATTAATTTTTAGCCATGCTTAGCTTTTACAGTATGTCTAAAACTATTGGACTTTTACCTCAAGAAATTTAGGAAAATTTAATATCGAGCATGATTTTCTACATAACATGTTATTTCAGTTGTTATATAAATTTTGCATATAATAGATTTTTCCCCCTCAAGCCTTTAAGAAAACATTCTTTGAATACATATACATATTATCTTTTATAGGTTGAAAGTTTATTAGATGATAAAGATTTCAAGTGTCCTATTACAAGAGCAGAGTTTGAGGAACTTTGTAGTGACCTCTTTAGCCGTGTCACCCAGCCTGTTGAAGCAGCTTTGAAATCTGCCAATTTAGACCTGGTATAAACTTCATTTGTATTTTAAATCGTGATTTTTGCCTTAAGATTTATTACATAGTATTAATTACATAGTTTTTTCCTCTTACAATGTTTTTAACAATTGAATCATATGCTTGATTTTTAAATCAATATTTAAAAAAATTGTAATAGATTAATTTAAAATTTTAATAATAAAGATTTAAATATGAAGGGAAGAGAAAATGTGCAGTAGAAATGACGAATTGTTCTTTGGAAAAGGAACTACTTTGCTTTTAATTTAGGTTAAAATAAAACGCTGAATAATGATTATTGGAGAAGTCAAACAACAATCAGTGTAATATTTGTCAATTTTGCAGGACTAGTTTCGATGGTTTAATTGTTCTGTAGTTAAACTACCAAAACTAGTTCTGCAAAATTTCCAAATATTATGCTGATTCTTTCTGTTTGACTTCTCCAATAATGTTTTGCCTTTATTATTGTGTATGGCTGTAAAATAGCTTTTTATTTTATCATGTACATGCCAAATCCAACTACAAATATGGGAGTATAGTTAGCAAACTACTAAGAAAAGACTACATAGGATTACCGTAATTTCGTGTGTATAGTCCGCAGACTATCTGTGTTTAAAATGCGAATTTTTGAAGCTGCGGACTGTCCACCAGTGTGGATAATACGCTGGTTCTTAACGGTTAAAATCGTTGAAATTTAAAAAACACGCTGTCGTGAACTGCCGATGATCAAATATAAAAAAAGCGTGAGATTCCAAGAAAACATTTGTATGTATCATATCGATAGTAAACCATACAGCATAGTACAGAACGAATGAGTAGTAGCAAGTAGAGCTCCTAAAATCCAGGCTGACGCATCAAGCGATGTCGGGATATGAGCCAAAGAAAGTCTTGTGTGAGCACTCACTTAGCGCAACCAGAGTCTTGTATCCCAGTACCCTTCGCACTGCTTTAGTGCAATTGCCAGGAGGGGGGGAAAGTAGTTGATGCGTCAAGGAGGCGTTTATATGCGTTTTAGAAGCCTTAGTAGCAAGTACCTGGAGTACGAAAAAAAAGCGCGATTCGTTTACTTATAGCGTGCTTTGGCAACACCGAGTGAGTGGGGTCAAAGGTCACATTTCGTTACCACTTATCACGTATAGGATAGCACAGTATTTTGCCTTTCATCTTCAATAATGTTGATGAAACATCGCCGGGAAAAAGATGGAAATAGAGAAGCGGGCTGTTATTGGTTTAATCCTAGTATTTGGTGCACACGGGATTTGGCTACTTTTGGCGACTTTATGATGAGTAGTTAACGGGTCATTCAAAGAAAATATATAGTTAAACATAGTATATACACTATGTGAGTATATACATATACTATGTGTGTATAGTATATATATAGACGTTCTTTGGATCATTTTTGGTGTTGGCGATAATTTTCAAAGTCGCGCCAAGGCTGCACCATATACTAGGATTTTACCCCGTTATTTTGAAGTGGACGAGAAAGCGGTGAGAAATTGGTGCAAACAAAGGATGTGTTTAAAAAGCATGGGAATATTGCCGTATTAAAAAAACGTAATTTCGGACGTATAGTCCGCGGACTATCCGGTGGTGCGGACTATCTGACGATTTTTGAAATTTTTTTTTTATATCAAATCTTGTGTGCGGACTATATGATGGTGTGGACTATACGTGCGAAATTACAGTAATTTAAAAGTATCGATATGCTCGCATGTAATATTTCAGTTGAATTAGCTTTTTAATAATGTATGTCTAAGTTTGGAAATAATGTGAATGATGCTGTTTAGAAGAATGACAGAAATGTTTGTTAAAAAAATTCCAGTTTTAATTGTTGTAACTTGTGTGTTTCACCATATAAGGTTAGGTTAGCTTACCTGGAGTAAGACAGCACACAAGGACTATCTGCCTAGGGGAAGGGGTACCTTTGTGGAGGATTTTCATAGGAAAACTGACTCTTATTCATATTACGCATGGGGAAATCCACAAAAATGAACAATACAGCCTCCCTGTTCACCTGTGTCAAACTACCAGACTTCAGTGGTGTTAACCACTCAGCCACTGGTGGAGCCTTTCATATAAATAGCTACACAATAATGTCATAATTAAGTGAGAAAAAGGAAGATTAATCCAGCAATTTTCCCTTTGGCATTTTCAGTTGCTTTTTTGTTGAAATGCTGATTTTCTTTTTAAAAAAGAATTAGCATGGACTACTCAGTTTGTCAATTGCCTTTAACAAAGAGTTGTATTTAAATTCTTTCAAGTCAAAAGTATTATCCTTGCTAGAAGGGGGAAGAACTTTGTTTAGAAAACTGCAAAATTAAATTGTAATTTCCTTTTACTGTGACAGTTAAATGGAGTTGAAATAAATGATCATATTGAGGCAGAAAGGGTTACAGGTTCAAAGTGTCATATATTTGTTTTGTCATATATTTGTCATATAGCTATTGCATTTATTTGCTTGTGGTGTCAAGAAGTGCATTAGCAAAATTCTGTCAACTGCAACTAAGAATGAATCCTGTATATCCATAGATTGATATAATTCCATACATTCTTATTATGAGTTTATGTATTCACCTTTTTTTTTTAAATTTGGTTTTGATATAACAAAATGGTATCAAATATTAGTATAACTGAAGTATCAAATATTGTGATTTTGGTACATAATTGCTGTTGTATCCTATATTACATGTAGCTTACTTTAGGAAGCCAATTGGAATGATACTTTGTTGTAAATAAATGGTAAACTGCATCAGTAAAATGTCAATCAATGAGATCCATAAGATGTGCTTATGTGGACCTTTAGTAAACATTAGTAAAAAAACGAGTGGAATTTTAAATTTGCAATGCAAGAATTGGCAAATTTTTACACAAAATCTTCTTAGTATGATCTTTTTAGTATAGTGCAAAGTCCATAATCCGGACTCATCAGGACTTCATCCGGATTAGGGGTTTTTCCGGATCATAGATCATCAATTTAAATCTGGTAAGATTGCATACAGAAATTACACAATTAAAAATATGAAACTGTAATTTATGAAATAAAGAGCAATTATGATCTAAAGGGTATCAAAATTTACAAAAAAAAGCTTAATATTTATTTGTTTACTGTGTTAAACATTTCTTTCAATGTAAGTTGTTTAAGTTGGTTTGTTTTTTGTGCCAATACTTTCTTTTTAATTCTATAAACAGACATAATTTCTTGTTCAGTTACAAAGTTCCACTGCTCAAGTCCTGTAATTGTTGTGTTGCGAATACCGACTAACTTATCAATCGAAATTTTTTTGTTTTCAATAACCTCTCTGTCACTTTCTTCACTATCAGAAGCGGTATTTTCTGGATCTAGAACCATACTACAGATTTCGCTGTCCATTAATTGATTGATAATTGGGGCATTGTCGTCCCAATGAAAAACTTCTGTTATATCATCTTCATTTATTATCGCTTCTCCACATTTCTTTACAAAATCCAATAACTGGAAAATTTCACCTTTACTTTGCGATGTCCGAATACCTTCAAATTCGCGGCTATGAATGACCATGAAATATGGTAGCTGGCCATAAATTATGCCAAGCATTTTTAACTTATTGAGGCAATCCTCCGCCATCTTGGATGCTCCACACAGAGATTTTTTGCTGAAAAACTTTCACAAGTTGAAAAATCTTGCATTGTTCAAAGTGAATATAGATTTTATACTGTGCTTTATATTGCTTCAGTGCCGCACTTTCCCTATCCATAGGCTGAATGTAGATTACAATTAAGGAAGAATAATACGAATACATTATCTTTCACTAAAACTTTAGCCCTTAACACTCCGCACGTTTTTGTACCACTGCCTACCAGCAACTCCAGAACATTTTTGCAGCGGAATGCAGCATCCCAAATATCTGCATAAATATCTTTCTTGTAAATATTTAACCAAAGAAAGGGATGTGACTATTCTCCTTAACTGACCAATAATCCTGCATATTTACCAAGGGTATCTTACCCATATTGATAACTCCAATAAAAGCCCAAAACTCATCCTCTTCCACCGCACGCCACGTTTTCCAAATAGAATTACTAGATAGTTCTTTATTCTTTGGAACATTTTCTGCATAATTGTTGGTTTCTTGTATAATTTCATTTACCAGTTTGTTTGTGAAAAATAATTTGAAATATTGTGTCGGCTGTACAATATTTGTAGGAATTTGTGTTCCAATGACATTTGGCGATACACTAAAATGTATTCTATCCTCTGGTAATACACCTCTGATGATGAAATATATTTTTGGCATCAACAATTCGATTTAACTGGTTTTCTTATTTCTGGTGGGTATTGTTTCGCATTGCATTGAAAATCACAGTAAGCATATCTTTATTTTCTTCAGCTCATCTCTGGTTCCATAAGAATTTTGCTAATAAGAAGGCCAGTGAATTTTCTTAAACCAGTTCACAGTTTATATTTTAACACTTTGTTTTCAACACTTAGTAATACAGTTCCGTCATATCTGGAACAATGTACAATTTTACAGTATTGTAACATCCAGATGGCATTTTTGGCAAAATATTACATGCCTGGAAATGATGGGTTGCTTCTTTCTCATTTCTTGGAAAATCTGGCAAATAAATTTTGTCAAATGCAACCAAATAAGCATGAGATATCCAAGAATTTCCTGTGGGAGAAGGGTTACGTTTACGTCCCCCCCCCAATTGATGTAATTCAGATATACACTTTCTGTAATTTTTCTGAAGGTGATGTTGGATTTAAAAATAATCTTAGTTTCTCTTAGCCTGTCAAAGGGGAGGGGCATCTCCTTCCCCTGAAAAAAAAAAAAAAAGAATTGCATCTTTCTAGAAAAATCAAGAACTCTTTTGGTTATAACAACACTTGCAAGAAAGCAAATTTGTGAGTTGTAATGTTGCAGGGGTGTCAGTTAATACTCAAGTTCTAATGAAATTTTTAACATCACTTATTGTTGAAGAAGTAAATGAGAAGCAATTGAGAATAGGGCTTTTTTAAAAGTTGTTCATTATTTATTACTTGACTGATGTTTACATTAAAAACAATAACTTAATTAGTTCTTTCATTGCAGGAAGAGCTATGAGTAGGCTTGTAAAGTCTTTAGGTTATTGAAGCAGGAAACATGAAAATTGCCTTCGCTGGGAGAACTGCAGACCGTCTGATTATTAGCTGGATGAGCTCTCCTATTACAGCACAAAAGCATGTAGTAAGGGAGGGAAGAAAATTACAAGCTTCTTTTTAACTTTTTTCCCTCAAAAGTTAACAAGTTTTGAATTACTAAGGAAGATTCTGTATCATTCTTGGCTTTCCATCATCTTGAGTTTTTATCTTATGAATTTATACGACAAAAGTTTTTGGGATGAGAAAGTGCTTTTAATGCCGTAGTAAAAGTAATCTAAAAAATATGACAGCCAGAAACTTTGTGGAAAGTAAACAAACAAATGTCAATAATCTTGCCTCCAATAATAGCCGTAAAGATGAAGTATTTAAAATTTATGTAGCTTAAAGATGTAAAAAAATTGCTAATATTAATAATAATAATAATTTTCATACATTATTGTTCTTTGCATTTAAGACTTTATTTTATATCCAAACATGTTAGTTGTAGCCTTACTATTCCGAGACTGAAATATTGATTTTTGCCAGACTTTTGTTTATTAAACATGTTTTATATTTTTACTTCATCTTCAAATTTATTATAATGTTTTCAGAATATGATTGATCAAGTTATTCTTTCTGGATCTGGTGCTCGTGTTCCGAAAGTACAGCAGGTACTGTTGGATTATATAAAAAAAGAGGAACTTGGGAAAAGTTTAAATACAGATGAATCTGCAGCACTTGGTGCAGCATATCAAGCAGCCCATTTAAGCAAGGGTTTCAAAGTTAAGACATTTTTGGTAAAAGATGCAAATTTGTATCCTATACAAGTAAGTAAATTTTGTGTTAAAATTTACTTGATCCCCTCCCCAAATTGAAAACTGGAAGTATTTTGTTCTTTTCATCATTTAAAATATTTTTATAATTTAAAAATAGAATACTTTTGAAATATTTTAAAATCCAGAGTAAGAATGCATAATCTCTGCATCAAAAATTCAATTTTGAAATATGCCTTCTTGGAGGACCTTTCTAAGGAAAACTGCCTTGTAATTACATTGCAAATATCGAAAACCACAAAAATTGCCCCTGCAACCAAGCCGCTCGCCCAGATTCAACCATGGGTCAAATTCTCGATATTCATCAGTCTAACCACTCAACATCAGTCTTACCATCTTAATATATGATATATATATTGTTTGCTTCTCAGTAGTTAATATTCACGGACTAAAAATTATGTTTATTAAGTTTCTTGTTAATTTGAAAATATGCTTCAAAATGTTAATTTTTAAAATATAAGAAATGCTAAGTCCTGAAATTATTTAATGTCTAACATTTGGAATGTAATACAGTGCAGATGTGCATAATTATTTTAGCAAAAAACAGTTTAATATAAGCAAACATAGAACAATTTAATATAAGCAATTTGCAAACATTACAAAAACATCAAATTTTCTTTTAAACTAGTGTAGGAAAAATAATTTTAGTTAAATAAATTCAGTTTATTAAAAAAATGAAAGTTTATAGATCTGTGTGTTTAAATAAAATGTGTATGTGTATCAGTTTTATTTCTCATTTTTTCAGGTAGACTTTCAAAGAGAATATGAGTTGGAAGATAAAACTACTGGCATCAAAACAGTGAAAAGAATTTTATTTAGTAGAAACAATGGAATTCCTTTAAAAAAGATCATGACCTTTAATCGTCATGTTAAAGATTTTGAATTCTATGTTAACTATGGAGAACTTGGTTTTCTGAATGATTTTGAATTAAAGTATGTCTGTTTCAGTATTATTAAGCTCATAATGTTTTGAGCTTTGTGAAAGAGCTTTAAATCATTACCAGGAGTATTTTTTAATTATCTTTTTTTTTTAGGGCTCTTGGATCATTAAACATAACAAAAGTATCTTTAAAAGGAGTTGAATCTGCCATTAAAAAACATATGGATGAAAATACAGAATACAAAGGTGTGAAAGCACACTTTAGGATGGATGAAAGTGGAATTTTAAATCTTGATGAGGTAATGCTTGTAATATCCTAAGGCTTCAGCTTGTTTTAAAATTTTACTCTGTGCATTTTAGTTTTTTTCTGAAATTATCACTCTCTGGTCTTGTATTGCATATTTCATTGTACTAAATTTTTTATTTCAGTTTTATCTCAGACTGAATATAAAGTTTTTCATTTCTAATAGAGCAAAAATCTTCGATTAAATAATTGCAGGATTCAAAACAAATTATATTTTAAATTCAGTATTAAAAAAACCTCATGCATATTTTTGTACTTAAGCGGCTGTGCAATAAGAAATACTTTAAGGAGCAGTGTATTTTTGCTGCCTGCATGAATAAGGAATTATTGCATCCTACTTTATGTACTTTTTTGGTTTAAGTGTTAACGTTGGTTGTTTCAATCCTGACAAATGCCAGTTGGTTTTCATGTTTTGTAGCTGTGAAAAGCCTAATAAGTATCTATATTTGGCAGTCAACGTAAAATGTAGTCGATGGTTATTCATTACAACCTGGATTTGGTTTACTGGGTTTTATAGGTTTGTCCAGTAACTCTTTAAGTGGGAGAAAATTCAAGGAATTATCGTATCCCTCTTCCTTGTTCATGCCTTTGTGATGCAAGTGTCCGGCTAGCAAACTGGAAAATCTGTTATTTGAATACCCACAAAAGCAGTTTCTTGGCTTTGAAAAAAACCTAATTGTCTCTATGCGTGTCTTTTCTAATTTTATATCAAAATTTCTGATTTTGAAAGATTATTTTTAATAAAAAAAATTCAATAACATTCAAATAATAATAGTAGCATATTATATATATTAATTAGCAATTTGCTTTTGTGTTTTTTAAACTCTTTTAAAATCTGATTTTGTATGTTGCTGATAATCCCAAAATTGTTAGAATTTCCCAAAGTACATTCTGTGATGTGTTTTCTGTGTGCTGATTTATGTATCCCCCCACTGTAAATTTTTAGCATATGTATTTTTATTGCATTCCGGAAAATATTGTTTTCAAAGTTATGTTGAATGGATCTGCTAAAAAACATTATTATACTGATTTTATACTATGTTCTCATTACATTATTTCCATTTTAGGTGGAATCTGTTTTTGAGAAAACCGAAGAAGAATCTCCTGAATCAAAACTAGAATCAGCATTTACAAAACTTGGGAATACTTTAGGTCGTTTATTTGGTTCTAATGAGGACATAGCGAAGGAAGTAAAGCCCACTGAAACAGAGGAAACTAAAGCGGAAGAAACAAAACAGTTTAATAAAACAGAGGTAATACAATATTTTTATTTTAAAGTAAGGAACTAAATAATAAAAATGTATTGTGTTTGAACTTATCACGTAAATAAAAATATCTTTATATAATTCATATTTTGAGTTGAGAAGAAATTTTAGTTGTTTAATTTCTTCAAAAGTTCTTGCATTTCCTTTTTAATCAAATATTCTTTTCAGTCACTTTGGCATATTTTGGACATTACAAATAGAAACTGAATGCTATTTCATCATAGTTTATTGTTCTATGTTATCGTAGTTTGTGATATGTTACGTTATTGTAGTTCATAGCTTATTTAATTTAAAATGATATTTCTGACCTGCTGTAAATGTTTTAAACAAATTATTTATGAAAATTTAAAATTACAAAATTTACAGCAGAGTTGTTCAAAAGTTTAATATTGCTGTAAGTTAGGTACCTAATTTATATATATATATATATATTATTTATTACATGCTGTGCAATTAGACAGCAGCCAGCCTATTCGCTGGGACTCGCTCTAGGCCAAACTACCAATATTCAGTAGCTTTTACTGCTCGGTTGCTGGTGTGCTTTTTTGTATATTTGAAAGCATAATTATTAAAGACAGCACTTCCTGGTTAATTGGATAAAATCTAATGAATGGTAATTTTAATGATATGTGTGGCTTCATGAAGAGAATGTATTAAATCCAAAATAAATACAAAAAACTGACCAATACTAGAATTTGCTTAGAAGAAAAATACAGTGGTTTTTATCAGTTTCATTCAAGATTATTTATGTGAGCAGATTTTCCAAGTCTCCTAATTTAGGTAGGAGACTGCCAGTTTTTTTTACAGAATCCTGCCAACCTGATTTACTACATATTCCTCTTGACTTCAAAATAGTCCTAAAATTTCTCTTGATTTCATTAGTCCAGATTGTTATTTCATTATTTTCACTCTGAAACATGTTTTTTGGCATCAGAAAGCATTTACTTTTTTTTCGTAAGTTTTGTCAGCTGCTATAGCTGTGCATGTTGGAATAGATGTATCTAAAAACATCATGATCCAGTTCCCCAGTTCTAATTGCATCTGCAGGTCATCTGGTGCCCACCAACCAATGAGCACAAAGGAAGATCAAAATAGTCCTCTTCATTTTTCAAATTGCTAAATGGTGCGAGTTTCATAGGCTTGTTGATAAGAATTTGTGATCTTTTATCTTGGTTATGCCGGCAAAAACATAAAATACTCATATCTTTTTAAATGTATGTGTTGACAAATTGTGTTATTTCATCAAGAAAACGTAAGATGTATGCAATTTTTTTTTGGGGGGGGGCAGACCTTCTGAGTACTTTCTATCCATACCCCAACTGAAAAGTTGTGAACTCATTTCTGAGAGCATTTATTTTTTCAATGTTTCATCAAGTGGTGCCTATTTATTTACATTCTACTTTTTCCACAGAAGAATGCTCACCTTATGTAGATTTTTCTAAAAACATCAAAGAATTGCAAAGATTGAGCATTGCACACAACTTCAGCACTGTGCATTATCTGCAATCATGATTGCCCAAGAAGTGTTGAAACTTCATTGTACATTCCAACAGAACACTGTAGCTTCATAAAAATAAAAGAAAGCAAACTGTGCAGTTCCATTATGATTTCTTACAACAAAATCAAATGTACTCATTGCAACAACAAATTATTTTAAAGTTCCCACAGGATTTCAAACTTGCAAATTCATGTGTGCTACATACATGCCTGGGTTGTTACATAAATACTTTTTGGCAACATGGTGTTTCTAATACATTTCCATAGCTTTTTGATGGGGGTGCATATAATTCAGAAAGTACTAGCCAAGGTACTAAAACACGGGTATTCTGAAAAATGTGAGACCAATGTAAATTGTCTTGAAAAAAATTAAATTTGTCTCAAAGCTGAGAATCAAAAAGTTATTAATGCAGCATGCCAGTTTTCTGCTTTTTTTTTTTTTTTTTTTTTTTTTTTTGCTTGAATTGGTGCTTAAATCTGCCATTGAACACCTCTGATCATGCTATAGTTTTACAAGCTTGTCACAATTAAAACACCCCTACTCTGAGCTCTCTATACATCAGACTACTGAGTCTAAAGACACCAAAATTCATGATCATACTATAAAAGACATGGGGAAAAGGTTTATGCGAAAATTAGTTCCAGAAACTGTGTCAAATGGCTCTGTACAACAGAAAATATGCTGAAATATGCTAAAATATGCAGTATGGAATTTTTCCTTTTTAATTTCTATTACTGATATGAAAAAAAAAAAAGAAGGTAAAGAAAGTTTAGAAACTTAAACTCTCATTGTAACTGCAATTTTGGACTGTAAGCACAACTATTTGCATGAACCCCTAGTTTGCAGCTACTGTTATGAACAAAGGAAATGAATGAAAACAAAGGAAATGCTGCAGCTGCACTTTGAGAGTTTCATCGATTTAAGAATTTACACAGAAGACCATTACTTCCACAAACTTTTAGGAGAATGATCGCTCGATTCACGAAAACTGGAGATTTTAGAGTTCAACTGGGTGGAGGATGCAAATCAACTCGTTCAGATGTCGTTGAGGATGTTGCCACTGCTATTGTTGAACAATCAATGAATAAAGTTGTAGGCTGTAGTAGTGCATGTGTAGTGTCAGCACACTTGGGTCTTCCTTACAGTGCAGTGCAGAACATATTGAGAAAATGGTGCATTTTTATCCACATAAAATTTATCACAATCAGCAATTGCTGCTCATCAACAGAGAGAAGCAACTGACCTTTGCATTGACATTTCTGGCTAGAGTTGAAGTAGATGCATCATGGCCATGACAGATTTTTTGGAGTGATGAAGCCCATTTTCATTTAAGTGGACAGCTCTAATTGTCACATTTGGAACACAGAGAACCCTCCTACCTTCCAAGAGATTCCGCTTTACTCACTGAAAGTTAGTCTGGTGTGGATTCACAGCCACATTCATTCTTGGACCTTTCTTTTATAAGAGGCTATATACAATGGCACTGTGACATGCACCGTGACAGCCAGGAGGTACCAAAACATTGCTCAAAAATTTTGTTATAAATGCAACAATGCCAGTGTCGTGATTCAGTTACCTTTATGCAAAATGGAGCACTTTCCCACATTGTCCTCTGTGCACAGCAGTTTCTTTCGCAACATTTTACTGATGATAGAGTAATTTACTGATGATAGAGTAATTGGTCATGCATTTCTGACAACCTGGCTATTTTGTTCTTCAGATCTTAATTCCTGTAATTTTTTGCTGTAGTGTTACTTAAAAAATTTTACTTATCGATTACATATGATAACCGTAGCAGATATGAAAGACGGTATCATGTGTCACTGCATGTGAGAAGCATCTCAATGGACCAATTATGATCTACAGTTGAACAAGCTTTTCACAGACTGCAGATTTTATATCTTGAAGACCCATATTGAGCAGCTTCCCCTACGAATGTTTTTTATGTTTGAGTAAAATGTGTTACAAATATGTATTTTGTCTTCTCAGCATATTTTCTATTGAACTACGCCAGCTATCAGTGTTTCTGGAATTTTTTTTTTCATAATCCGTTTTTCCCATTTCTTGAATAATATTTTAAACAATTTTGGTGCCTTTACACTCAGTAGTTCAATATATAGAGAGCTCAGGGTAGGGTTGTTTTTAATTTTGACCACTTTGTATTTAGAAAATGTTTTCCCAAAATTGCTAAGAAATATTTATATGTAAGTATAAAAATCTGATGTGTACACCACATGACTTCCTTGTATGGAATATTAAATTACATGCATTTTTTTCTTGCATTTCATTTAAACTTATTGAATTGAATTAAATCTACTTTGCCGACAGCGCATAAACCACAATAGAATAAATGCATTCTTTAAAATTCATTCTAGTGTTTGTTTACCATAGCGACACTCTGGTGCTAGATTCACTTAACAGTATTATATTTTGTTCATATTATAACTCATAATGCACAAAATTTATATCATTTAAAGAATAGAATTATCTAATTGTTGCCACAAGTTCTATTCAAATACTATAATAAAGCTAGAATAATGTATAAAAGAAATTAAGCAAACAAAACAAAAAAGAATTATTTTTCACAGACGATTGATTATTTCTCATTCAATTAATTTATTTCTCAATTCGCGAGAAGGCAAAAATAGATAAAAACTAAAAATATCTATATTAAAAATTACGAAGTAAATTTTAAACACTTATTTCCTCGAAAAAATTCCAGAAAGGATTAAGCATGATTTAAATAATAAATGAAGGCGTTATCTTTGTTGTAGAAGCTAAGTTTCTCTAGATTAGCAACAAATTCCACTAGTCTGCTGTTTCAAATGTAAACAATCAATGGCCGTCATCAAAAAAAGGCTTAGCGGCACTTAAACAACTTTAAAATTGTTGATAATTCTAAAAATATTGCATACAGATTTACTAAAGACATAAAAACCTTAACTGGAAGATAAAACCAACATAATTCAATCATTTTTAAAGCAAAAAATGTGCAATTTACAAACATACAAGAGTAAAGAAACTGAGATCACTGAGCCGGGTAACAGAGTGGATATATTTATAAATATATTTATATACGTTTGGTGCGGCCGATTGCAACCAAAATACAAGGTGCACATCTACATGTTATAGAAGTCCTATATACAAAATTTCAACGTTCTGAGGCTACTCGTTTTCGAGTTATGCGAGATATGTATGCACGCACGTACGTAAATACGTTCGTACAGACACCACGAAAAACTCTCTCCAGAATTAATTTTAAAGCAATTTTATAATTTTTTTGGAGGAAAAGCGTCTTTTATTCTGTCCTTACGTACAGATATCACGCAAATTAAATTATTTTACCCTCTTATGCATCTTCTCAACCAATAACAACCTTGACTTTTTTTTTTTTTTTTTTTTAAAGCAAGAAATCATCTGATGTTAGGTTGCAAATTTTATAAATATGGATTCATTGTGTAAAGAAATACATCATCATTCCTGATAATAATGGTGAAACTGTTAAAGAATTAGACTTTCAAAGAGAGAAAATGAACTAGTTATCTAAATTATTTCTAGAAAAATTAACCAAATTTTTTTAAGAAAGCCAATAGTTAAATATTTTCTTATATATTAGTGATTAATGCCAGTTTCTAGTATAATGCTGATAAGAAAAGAAAATAATTTTGTCTAATTGTGATTGAAGAGATAGTAATGCTGCAAGGTCCTTGAGTCGTATTTCAGATATTATCCTTTTCAAAATTTCATTTGTTTGATTTCAGTTATCATCAAGTTTGACAGTTTGATTTATATAGTGCATTTTATGTGATTTTACTATGAATAATAATTTTACTATGAATATTTGTGTAATCAAATTTTTAGAAACTTATTAAATCTGCTTATGGTTATTTTGTTACTAAACTTTTAATTCTAAGTCAATTAACATTCAAATTGTAAAAATAACTGAATCGGAAATATGGGCAGAAATCCTCTTGCTGGATCTTTGCAATGATTTCTTGCCAGCTTGTCAATGATCTGGATTTTGTGTGAATACATTTTTAACACACCAAGAGCAATTTTTGTGCAGAAGTAGTAGTGCAGCTGTATAAATAGGAGCTGTATGGGAGCCCAAGACTCAACCAGTTTAGTCATTCAGTTCAGAGGCTTATGACTGTAGTGAGCTCTTCCTTGGTGATTATTGCTTTAGACATTGCTCTGTATGTAATTTTGGAGATCTGCAATATTCTTTGCATGTTGGGGAGAATTTAAAATAGTTGTCTTTTTCTTCCTTGGTCTGTTTATAACTGTGTGCATTGTTATATGCATATTCAATTAAGTGTCACTTTCCTTTGCTGCTCATCTATTGTCATTATTAAGGAGATCTTTACAAACCCACAGCATTCAGAAATTTAAAAATTAAGAATATTAGGCATGTAAATATATTTATTTTTACATGTTTCTTGTGCTAACAAGTTCTTTTCTATTATTATTATTATTATTATTATTATTTAATTTTTCATTGCTTTATTTTTAAAAAGTAAATTTTCTTTTCAGGCAGACAAACTAAATGAAAATGCAACTAAAAGTGAAGTACCAAAGAATGCAAGTGAAGCTAAGAAAGAACCTAAATTGTTATTTGTCAAAGAACCTGTATCTTCCACCTTAATGTATCTTGACCTTGTAGCATTAGACAATGATGCTGTCCAAAAATCTGTAAAAAAGTAAGTTTGCATTTTAAATTTTAAAAGCATTTTAAAGCTTCTTTACCAAATATTGTCAGCTGAGTACTTAATTTTCTTAATTAACAGATCAAAACATATTATAAAAAAAGTGTAGTTATAATCCTTGTGCTTAGAAAGTTGACAGTAGAGAAAGAAACTGATAACAGAAATATCATGATAAAATGTTATCATTAATAGTGCATGTTATTTCTTAATGTTAGAAACTATTCTAGTAATAGAGCCAAGTAAAAATAATTTTTGCATGTTAAATAGCATCACTGGTAGACACAGAAGCATAGCTAGAGTTTTCAGCGCCAGGAGACAACTGAAGATTTTGCTCTCCTTTCTGTGTACCAAGAATGTAAAAAATTTCATTTTAAAATTTCATAGTATCAATTTGGCACTCCCTGGATGCTGCGCCCAAGGACAACATCCCTCCTTGCCCCACCCTAGTTCCGCCACTGGGTGGACAAAATTAAGAGAGGGAAAACTTTTTTCCAAATATCTCAAGAAATACTAGATAGAAATAAAAGAAATTAGGTATGGATATAGCTTATTGGACGACAGTGTGTGCAAAGTAACAATGTAAATTCCATTCATTAAGGTTAGTTATAGCTAAAAGTCCAATGTTGTTTAAACTTGAGGTTGAAAGGTGGCAGTGAAAAATGGCTAGTATGGTGTTTGGTCGCCTCTGACAGACAGCATGCACAACAAGTAGCCATGCTAGTCACACTCACTCTACTACCAGAGCAGTTTTTAACTCCTAAATGGTTCTGGATGGGCATTGGTATATTGCATTAGTCCTCACAAGAGCATCCCAGGCAAGTTCAATAGATTAAAATCGGGAGATTTGGCTGCCCAATCCATTCAGTGAATATCTTTACTTTCCAGATAGTCATCAACCAGGCGGCCCTATGTGGTATTGCATTAGTGTCCATCAAAATGAACTCAGGGCCAACAGTACCCTTGAAAAATCTCATATAGGTTGTAGGATCTCCTGCCTGTATCTTTGGGCATTCACAGAAGCAGTGTCAAACACATAGAGCGGTGGGCAGGTATCTTGCATGACTCCCTACCCAGACCATCAATCCTCCCCCTCCGGAATGGTCCCTTTCCATGATGTTGTTGGAATGGTAACAGGCCCCATGTTCCCTCCATATAAGAAATCACTGAGAATCAGGTTGTGGACTGAATCTGAACTCATCGACAAAGATAACATTTGCCCATTGAAGCTATGTCCAGTGTTCGTGTTGTATGCACCCTTGTAAATGCTCTCTTTTGTAGGAGGGAGTAAGTATGATATATGTAGCAGGCTTTCTGGCATACAGTCCTGCCTCGTGGAGCCATCTGGCAGCTGTCTTCTATGAAACTGATGTTCCTGTGGCAGTAGCAAGATCACAAGACAGTTGTGTGGCTGTAGATGTCCTTTAATGCTTGGCTGAAAGTACCAATACCTGTCATCATTAGTTGTTGTGGCTCTGGGGCAACCTTGTCTTGATTTCTCTACACTAACCTACTGCTTTTAAACTGATTTCACAAAGTAGAGATGAAACCTGGTGTGACATCCAGTTATTTTGCAACTTGAGCTTCGAACTGTCCTGCCTCAAGCCTACACGCGATTTTACATTTCATACCTTCGTCTAACTGAGTCATTTCACCTAAAAACGCGGGGGGGGGGAGATTATTCTAAAAAGACAATTAAAATCACTACTCTGTTGTAGAGTGAAATGAGATGAGGAGCTGGACATGGACTTTCATACCTTCTGCTGACGTAGCGACGCCCACAGGAATACATATCTCAGCATCATCAGCGCAATAGTGACATTATATGGCAACTAACTGTCCAGATTTTGTATGGTATTTTAGGAGAAATGTGTGAATGTTTTCCATCTCTTAATTTTGTCCACCAATGTATTATTAGTGAAGGTCAGAGCCATTCCTAGGGGGGCTGCAATACGTAAAAGTACTCGGGCAGCAAAAATCAGGGCAGCCGGACTCTCGCGATACCATGCCTAAATATTTTAAATTCATTTTAAGTACTTTTTATTCAATTTGTCATATGTAAGTACTTGGTAAGTATGAAATAAAAATTTTATCAATCATTAAGCACTTTTTTTTTAAATTTGGGTCAGCAATCTTAGGAAAGTCTGTGGGCAGCCAATGGCCTAGGAACGGCCCTGGTGAAGGTCATGGTTCACATTAAAATTTCCACACTTATAATTAATTTCTACACTTACATTAATTATTATAATTAAAAGCCTTTGAAACTGGTTATTTCTTTGATGTAAAATTATAATTGAAATCAAAATTTATCAAAAGAATTTCATGAGTTTTCTGTTAAATGTCCTGTGCAATATTCTGAACAGGTTGAGAGATTTAGATGAACATGATCGGCGAAGGTTAGCCATGGCAAAAGCTAAAAATTCATTGGAATCATTTATTGTGGAAACGAGAGATAAACTGTATAATGAGGAGTATGAGAAAGCATCAACGGAAGAGGAGCGATCCAATATTCAAAAGAATTTGAGTGAAACTGGAGATTGGTTAGAATATGAATCTGATGATGCGACAACAGAGGTATGAATCTTGGAAAGTTATTTTTTGTGTAATTGGTGTCACTTTATTTTCAGTATCAGGGAAAAACAGAAATTTAATGTGTGTGTGTATATATATATATATATATATATAATATGGAATAATTTCAAACTCAGAAGCAATAACCAGGAAATTGGAGGTGAGGGCATATTAAATCTTCAGTTTTATTTTCAGCAACATGTTACGGCCACACACAAGTCAGTTCATTAAATGTGCATGTTCCAAAAGGCTTACATTTTTGATAACTTTGTAGCAAAAAAGCAGCAGCAGACAGACAGCAGTCTAGCTAGGCCAAAGCGTCGAAAGCAAGTGCGTAATTTTCAGGATGAAATTTTAAGTCAAACTGAGTTAGTTTTGGTTCTCAAAGCATTTTGATTGGATAATTAATATTGCTCTAAAATTACTATTGGCTGATTTAGTTTTAGTTTCATTTATATAATCATAATTAAGTAAGAATCAAATGACATAGAATAGTCTCGAAATGACGCAGTGCAAAGAGAGGCTACTATTTTTAGAATAGAGAAGGGGAATTTATGTTGCTAATTTGATCTTTTATATATTCTTTATTTTTCTTACAAACATATATATATACAGTCAAAAGTCTTTAATCCGGACTCGTCGGGACTTCGGCGATTCCGGATTATCGGTTTTTTCGGATTATAGATCATCAATTAAATCCGGTAAGATGGCATGCAGAAATTATAAAATTAAAAATATGAAACCATAATTTATGAAATAAAGAGCAATTATGATCTAAAGGATATCAAAATGTACAAAAAAAAGCTTAAAATTTATTTGTTTACTTTATTAAACATTTCTTTCAATGCGCACATGCGAAAAGCATACATTACGCATATTCGAAACCGGAAAATTGCAACCAGAAAACTATTTGATGCATATTCGTGATATTTATTTCAAATTACGAGGAATTTGATTTAAATCATATCAAAGATGGAGTACATCGAGATGAAATACTACATTTAGTAAGTAATTATAAGCTGAATAAAATAAAAACGTCTGCTCTGAAGATAAGGATAGTGCTGACAGATCAATTTCCAGTTCATTGCGAGCCGCGATGTCCTTCCCCCCCCCACAGAGCAGCATGAAATTGATAAACAGATTTTGGAATGATTAGAGAAACGAAGGATATGCCTTTTTTTGCAGCAATTCCACTTTTTGTTTAATGGGCTTCGAAACATTCTTTCGCTTTGTAGATCCTTTACATATTAGTAAATATATATCAGAAATTCTATTTGACATAATCAAAAGTTCAAGCTTACTTTTATAAAACTGCTCTAACAGTCTGCAAAAAATAATAAGCGGGATCCAATTAGAAGATTAAGGAACAACGCAATCTGCAACATTAACTTAATTAGATAATTTTAGTTTAGTCCGTTGTACATTAAACGCACATGCGTAAACGTATTATGCGCATGCGCAGAAAGTTTGTAGCTTTGAGGTCCAGATTATAGATCATTCCAAATTATGGACATCCGGATTAAAGACTTTTGACTGTATATATGTTTGTACAAAATATATATATATATACACTCAAAAGTTATTAATCCGGACTCGTCGGGACTTCAGCGATTCTGGATTATCAATTTTTCCGGATTGTAGATCATCAGTTTAAATCTGGTAAGATGGCATGCAGAAATTATAAAATTAAAAATATGAAACCATAATTTATGATATAAAGAACAATTATGATCTAAAGGGTATCAAAATTTACAAAAAAAAAAAAAAAAAAAAAAAAAAAAAAAAAGCTTAATATTTATTTGTTTACTTTATTAAACATTTCTTTCAATGCAAGTTGTTTAAGTTGCTTCATTTTTTGTGCTAATAATTTCTCTTTAATTCTATAAACAGACATAAATTCTTGTTCGCTACGAAGTTCCACTGTTCAAGTCCTGTAATTGCTGTGCTGAGAATACCCACTAACTTGTCAAACGAAATTTTTTCGTTTTCAATAACCTCTGTGTCACTTTCTTCACTTTTGGAAGCAAATTATAATGACAAGGAATTTGATTTAAATCATATCAAAGACAGAGTACATTGAGATGAAATACTACATTTAGTAAGGAATTATAAGCCAAATAAAATAAAAACATCTGCCCTGAAGATAAGGATAGTGCTGACAGATGAACTTCCAATTCATAGCGCGCCGCGGCGTTCCCCCCCCCTTGCCGCAGAGCAGCGCGAAATTGATAAACAGATTTTGGAATGATTAGAGAAATGAGGGATATGCCTTTTTTTTTTTTTTTTTTCCAGCAATTCCACTTTTTGTTTAATAGACTTTGAAACATACTCTCGCTTTGTAGATCCTTTACATATTAGTAAATATATATCTGAAATTCTATTTGACATAATCGAAAGTTCAAGCTTACTTTTATAAAACTGCTCTAACAGTCTGCAAAAAATAACAAGCCGGATCCAATTCGAAGATTAAGGAACAACGCAATCTGCGACATTAACTGAATTAGATAATTTTAGCTTAGCTTATACCGTCTGTTTTACATTAAACGCGCATGCGTAAACGTATTGTGCGCATGCGCACACGCATATTCGCAGCGGTAAAGGTCTTACAAAGTTTGTAGCTTTGAGGTCCGGATTATAGATCATTCCAGATTATGGGTGTCCAAATCAATGACTGAGAAATTTCAAGTACTGAATTTTATAGTATTTAGCATTGATTTCAAAGTTAGCAGAATTTACTTTTGGGCATTGTTCTAACATAGGTACTTTGACACAAAATCAGACTTTTCCTGAAATGACATACCAGCTGTTTTCCATATTTTGATTCTATGACTCAAATTATGCCAAAGTTGCAAGTTTTGTAAAAATCGCACGAGTAGTTTTTAAAAAAATTAGCTCTCAACATTTTAGCTTCTCCATGTTAATTGAATTTGGTATATATCTATTGATATATATATATTTTAATACTTATTTAATTCTTCCTTTCTTATTACAAAATTTAGGTTCATTCCAAATAAAATTCACCCATTTTTTATGATTTATTCTTAAAATTTGTATTTTTAAATAATTTTTATACATTTTTTGAAAAAAAATTTTCATTGTAACCTGTAAAATGTTTACCATTGTGGATGAAGTAGATGTATTTCTAAGCATACCTGCAAATTTTTTTTTTTATTCAAAATTTCCTAAGATATATGTGAATTTACATTTTGGCACATTTTGAAGTTTGGCTTTGTCATAAGCGATAATAACGTCAAATGTGGTTTACATACATTGCTAAAGTTATTTGAAAGAATTCAATTTTTTGTCTTTATTCGTCTCATTCAGAATGAAAGGGAAATTCATTATCATAAATTAAGAATTTTGCCAAGTGAATTAATTATTCTTGGTGCAAATTAAAAAAAGTGCGGCAAGATAATTTTTAAAGTTTCTCGGTAAATTTCTCACCAAAATTTACAAAATATAATATTGCAAAATATAATATCTATCTTTCTATATTTCAATTCTACGACTCAAATTATCATAAATAGAATTGAAATATAGAAAAAAAATGGTATATTATTTCAGAAGTTTGATTTTGTGTCAAAATACCTATGTTAGAATAATTCTTTATAAATGAATATAACATAAAACCTAAATCGCACTTTCGAGACATGGAAAACACAAGTTAAATTTCAACAATCAGTCCAGTAGAGTGGGAGATACAGGACTATCCCCCCTTTTTTGTGCAAGGTGTACAAATATTTTCATGTTTTCAGTTATTTATGTTGGTAAGTAGAAGGTATGCAAACATTTTCATGCATTCAAGTATTTTATATTTAATTGGTACATGTTATTAAAAAGGTAATTTGTAAAATTTGCAAAAATTGACTTTATTAAAATAAAGAATGTTATGACTTTTATGAAAATTAAAGCATCTTTATTAGTCCAAAGGGGCTTTGTCCCCGAAGGACTATTGTTTTCGTTTTGCGATTTTGTGTTGGTTCACTATAAATGTCCGTTTCACTTTTCAAACTGTTGCCACCAAATGTTAAAGTCCTGCATTATATTTGAAGAAATTAAATAACGAAAAATTGCCTAAATGTATGTATATTTCTCTCATTGTGATAAAACAACAGTACATAGAGCCATTGAATTTTGAATGACGTAATCCTACTACGAGTATGGGCATGTGAAGCCCAATACGCTCAATTTGAAACTATTTTGTGATATTGCTGTTGAACTGAATTTTATGATTTAAGTGTGAAGAGCATGATATTTAATAAATAAATGTAACAGACAAAATGTTAAAAAAACACCCCTTTGGACATAATTTAAAATCTGAAAACTCAGATTTTGTTTGCTTTTTTTTTTTCGCATCAGATTTAATACTTTTTTTTTTTTTCTACGGAAGGCTTTGTTTTCTTTCAGCATAAATCGTTTTGCACGAATATATACTGTAGAAGAGACATAATTACTTGATAATTTTTCCTGCTTATTACGTGTGTATATTCATTATGCACACTCAAGAAGGTGAGGAAAGTTGTTCTGGTTGAAAGCAAAATTCATGGAACCTTTGCTGTATGATTTAATAATTTTGCTTTGATCATATTAAGCAATCGTATTAGGTTTCTTTGTTTTATCATTATTTAAAATGGATAAATGTAATTCAAAATTTCAAATTTAAACAAAATTAGCAAAGTGCAGTTTTTTTAATGTTGTACGTTTTATATATGTGTGGTTACATGTAGATATTTTGAATACAGATTAAGTGTTCTTAAAAGTATCTTTTAAATTATGTATTTTAAAAACAAGCTAATTCTTAAGCTCCCTCTCTCCCCAAATAAAAGTGCAGACATTTTAGTGAAATGTATTGATACAGCAAAGTTTAATTCTTGATTGAATTTATCAGTTGTTGGATATTTTGTTTTATAGGATGTCACATAAACCAAGTATCTTGGAGATTCACTGAAATTTCCAAGATTGTGGATAGGTCTTCCAATATGTTGAGTTGTACATAAAAGCCAGACCTGACACTTGGAGTCACTGAAATTTTTGTTTAAGATGAGATGTTTTACAGTACCTGGGGAGGGAGGATCTAATTAAATGTCGCTTGCATTGAATATGCTTTAGTAGTGTCACAAAATCAACTGAATTTTTATGTTGTAAAAATGGAGTTATTTGAAACAAATACTCTAAAATTTCTTTTGATGGATGACTTATGAGACATCTTGATTTGATTTTAGTGCTTCTTTTTATGTTACTTATAGGATGGGAAATCCATGGAGCGTAAAAAATAAATAGCATATGTTTTTCTTGAATTATTGTATAAATAGTCACACATTTTTTAATTACAATGTGTATATCCTGTCTATTTCAGGTTTTCAAAAGCAAGTTGGATAACCTCAGAAAATTAACGAGAGATCTGTTTGAACGTGTCAAGGAACACAGAGAAAGACCAGAAGCATTAAAGGCTTTAAAAGACATGCTTAATATCAGTCAAGTATTTTTAGCCTCAGCTCGTAATATGAGTGAAGATGACCAAATATTTACAGAAGTAGAATTAAAAACTTTGGATAATTTGATAACCGATACAAAGGTAATTAGCAATACACAAATTGGAATTTTTTTTTATTTACCTTTTTAAAGTTCATTTTGAGAAGTATTCATTAATGCTTGTCATTTTTATAAAGAAAAAACTTCGGAGGAAAAGTAGACTTATTATTTCTTTCAGATAGAAAAAATAATTTTATGACCATTTTGTTAAAATTTTACAGTATTCTCTATAATTGATATTAGAAAATGATTTATATTATAATAAAATAATTTTTAAGTAATTTTCAAATACGCATGTCTAGATATTATGAGAAATCTAATTTGGATTAATTTGCTTCTGATTTGAACCATGCTGAGAGTTTTTTTTACACATGAGGCAAATCTCGAATCAGGCATCCCTACTAAATTTTTATTTATTCATGCTGTCCTGAGAAAATATACACATAGAGATAAAAATGTTTTTGAATAAGAGTGAATGTTTTTATTTAATTAATTACAAATTTTAAAACTTATAATCCAAAGCTAGCATAATGTATTAAAATACAATTAAAAAAAAAGAAAATGCACAATAAAAAGAAAAATTAAATTCATTTTTCTTTTTTTCCCTTGCTTCTTTTTCTGTTATAAATATTTTAATAATTTTATATTCATTTCATAGAATGGCCATATTCATCAGCTGTTTTTCTGAGAATTAACTTTAGTAATTTTTAGTTAGCTTACCAAATAATTACTCAAATAAAGTTCTCATACTCAAAATCATAAATTGTCCAGTTTATAGATTTTGATTGAGTTTTGAGGAATAGTTTCTCCATAACTACACCTTTCTATAAAATTGCGATTAAAAGAAATTGTCCACATGTTATGCAGTAATGAGCTTTTAAATTTTGGTTTGTTCTGTTGAATTTTTGAAGATGGCTGATGGAATTCACGTGTTTGTTCTTTTGATGTTTATTCCATTTTTGTCCCACTTATTACCTCTGCATGAATCAGCTTTCTGTAGCTGCTTCTTTTTCCATGGGTTTTACTTCCATGTACAAAGTAAAGAAAGTATTGTAATCGCGAAAAATTCCGGGTTTCATATTTCAGTGAAAATATCCATTTTGACCAAATATCAAATCAATATTGATATTGCAATTTAATGATGTTTTTGCATCAATATCAAATGCAATTTGATGTTTTTGCATGACATCTGTACATAAGGATAGAATAAAGGACTATTTTTTCCCAAACAAAGTATTAAACTGATCTAAAATGGATAAATAAGAGATTTTTTTTCATGGCGTCTGTGCATACGTACATAGCTCGCATAGCTCAAAAATAAGTAGCCTCAGAAAATTGAAATTTTGTATATAAAACTGCTATAACATGTAGCTGTGCACTTCCCTTTGTGGTTGGAAATGGCCACATCAAAAGTATATACATATATAAATTCATAATAAAAGTAATTAATATATATATATATACCCACACACACACACACTCTGTTACTTGGGTCAGAGAGCTCAGTTTCTTTCTTTCTTTCTTTCTTTCTTTCTTTTTTTTTTTTAAATTCATATAAGCTGGTAAATTGTTGGTTCATTGGTTGCTAGTAATTCTTTTGCTGTTTCCTCTTTGATATTGCTTCTCAACCTGCAGAAGTTGTCTGTTTATTTATCAACTAAAAATCCAACTTTCTTCTTCTTTTATATAATTTTCTTTACTAGTTTTCCTCAGCTTCCTGAATTTTATTCCATTTACTTTTCCTCAATCATGATATCTACATATAATCGTAGATATCAATGATTAAACTTGTGAGCTGACTGACACAATTTTGAATGATTTTAAATATTGTATGGAAGCAGTGAAAAATAAGCAAACTTTAAATAAATATATACAAATATGTATTTATAACTGATATATTAAAAGTTTTTTTAATTCATCAGAAAGATGTCTCTATTTATATCTATCCATTCTTGCCATTGTGCCCGACATTGCAGTATATACCTCTCTGAAGCTTAACTGTTGTCTAGACTGAAAATGCCCAAGCCTAGGGCCCAGATTTTAGGGGTCTCAAATTAAATGATTTCTTATAACCCTCTTATTTTCTTTCTCTCATACACATGCACACACACACACACACACACATACGCAAATAAAAAAAGGGAGGGAGAACGAAAGAAAAAAAAGAAGACAAAAAAAAGAGGGAAGAGCCTTGGAAAGTATGTCTTTAAGGTCCCAGGCTTTTTTAATGCTGCATTGTAAGACTACATGAAATATCACCCTTTTCTTCTGTCATCTGCATTCCTGCCTATCATAACAAGCTATTGTATTGTCACAATATTCAAATATAAAATGTATCAATTATTCTTGTGCCAGCCTACATAACAAAAATGCTACATATTATGACTACAGAACTAGAGCAATCACATTTCTTTAATGTGTTTCATTTCCTAGAAGCAGACAAAGTAACAGCAGGCTCAAATGTGGCTACTAATAGCCCACCACTCTGAAAAAATTCAAGATACACAGTATAGGTTTATCATGATTATAATACATATTTAAATATGCATCATATAATATCACATTCAGGGAGTGAGTATAAGATTTAAGCTTCTGATTTTGCTAGTCACTGTTTTCCGTATGTGAAACAGCTTTTGTTAAAATTATTTCAGAATTTATCAGCTTTTATTTTCCACTAAATTCTTACCCACCCTTAGTTAAGTGGCTAAGATTCCTACTAGCATATCATCCAGTTTGAATTCCTAGTGGTTGAACAAACTGGTTACATAAGATTTTAATGATTTTCTGAAATATAATACGAATATGTGAGAATATCTGTTTGAAATCCTTTCTGAAAATTTCACTTCTTTTATTAGCCCATGAATGGTTGGGCAATAATAAATTGCATATCTATTTCTTCTACACATTTCTAAATTTTTGAGAAATAGATACATCTGTTTTAACTGGTACCCGCCAATATATTGCTGATAAAATGTTGGTACTGTTTAGTGATGAAATATATTTTTTAACTTCAGCAGATTTCTGACTATTTAGCAGTTGTATTAAAAATCACTTTGAATAATTACTCTTTATGCTTTGCCTCCTTCAACATGAACTGTGTTAGATAAGACGACAAATGAATTATCTTCCAATTTGTATTCTAATATTTTATTGCTTATTGTTAGTATTACATTTTTATTGTACATTTTCTGCTGCATTTTCCCAATATTTTGGCAAAATAACACACGTCTGGAAATAATGGATTGCAACCGCATTTTTTTGGGAGGGAGGGGGCTATTAAATGCATGATGCAAAATTCACTAAAATTAATATAAAGTGAACAGACATTGTTCTGTTCTAAGTATCTTGGGAAAGTCTGGTTACCAAAAAAATGACAAAATATAGTTTATGTGCTTTCTGTAATTGATCTGAAATTGTTATATCTCCCCAAAAAAAGAGATAATCAATAATTGAATCATCTGAATTCTCATTGTAGTAGAAGAATTCAGAACAACTTTTAAGGTTGCTATATACATGCAGGAATCTTTTGGTAGTATTTTTAATGGTTTTTCAAAAGTTATCTGCTAATACACAAGCACTAAGAAATAGGTTTTTGTTCATTTGGATCATTTTTATCTGACCCATATGTGGGGAAAAACATTACTGTTTGTCTAAAGATAATGTTCATAGCAGCAATTTTATATGGCAATGACTGCATAATTTTAGAATTGAAAAGTATGAAATAGTTATGTAGTATATTGGGTTAAACCTTAAGATTTCACATTTGTTCAAATAACCCCTCAGGGGGATCACTTTTGTGAGTACGGGTGTGGCAATCCCGAGGTACCCTAGCCCTTCAGGGGATCATCTTCTTGGTGAGACGGGTGTCACGATGCTGGAGCCCCAATGATCTTTCCTCTTTTCCCTCTCCTCTTGGCTGGAACTTTTTCCCTTCCCTTCTCCCTTGTGGTTTCTCTCTACGGAGTTTGGGGCTCGTCACGAGAGGCTGGAACAGATCTTATTTCTAGTTTTCGAGTGGCGAGAAAACTGCCCACTTGTTTGCCTGTGCGTGGAGACCCGTGTCGCTGGAAAGGAGGGTCCTGGTAGTTGAGGGGCGAGGTACTGTCCCCAACACACTGCTTTGGCCTCTGCTTCAGCTAAACGGGAGGCACCTTAGTCGTCCTCACGGGTGTCAATCGGCTGGTCACTAGTCCTTGTGTCAGTGGCTTGGGGTCAAGCTCTCGGGAGTACCTGCTTTCGGGAAAGCCGACTGTGGGGCTTCAGTTTGCGTATAGGTCCGGCTAGCCCTAACACAGGAATCTGTGTTCCCTTGTTGGGCTCCGTGGTGGGCGGGGCCGTCGGACCCTAATCTTATCTCTTTCAAACATGGCTTCACTTTTTATATTAAAAAAAAAACTGATACAAACGAAACTAAAGAAATAGAAATTATTGACAAATCAATTAACAAGAAGATCCGTACCGATGCAAATGCAAAGGAAACTACTGAAAATCCGCGCTTCCTAGTTGTCTCTAGCCCTTCTGGTTAACTGCAAAAGATGTCTCCTTTTCTAGTAAGCAAATACATTAAGTCATGCATAGGTGAGCCAAAGAACATTAAGCGTCTCCGTTCTGGAGACCTGCTTATTAGATACCGTTTCGGCCACCCAGTCTGCTTCACTTTGAGTCAAACCAATTTTGGACAAGTACCTATAACTGTGTCAGCACACAAAACACTTAACTATCTGTAAAGGTGTGATCTCGGAAATCGACCTTATGTTGTTTCAGAAGAAGAGTTGGTTTCTGAGTTCGCTGACCAAAAGGTTTGTGCTGCTAAGCGGATCAAGATGCGTAAGGAAGGTCAGTTGATCGACACAAAACACGTGATCCTGACCTTCAACATCGCCGTGATCTGCCAAAGAATATAAGGCCTGGGTATCTAAACTGCCCCGTAAGACCTTATATTCCCAACCCAATGCGATGCTTCCAATGCCAGCGTTTGGCCACTCTAAAACATCCTGTCGTGGCAGCCTGACGTGTGCCTCGATGCTCGTCGGTTGGCCACGATAGTGAAAATTGCACTGCTGCGCCATTGTGTGTAAATTGCAAAGGCGATCATCCAGCATTTTCTCGTTCTTGTCCAAAATGGAAAACAGAAAAGGAAGTACAGATGACAAAAGTCACTAGAAACATCTGCTACGCAGAAGCCAGAAGGGTGGTTCAAAGCACACAGCTTCAACCAAAATAGATCATATGCTAGTGCCGTTAAAGCAACACTACCGTTGCCAACCTCAAACATTATAAATGCACAGATTCCTCCAAATAAAACCCAGCACCCTGCAAGCAGAAAAAGGAAACTCCGACTCATGTAGTACAAAAAAAAAAAAAAAAGAAATAGCAATCCAGAGCAAACCCAAAAATAGCCTTCAAAATACAAAAAATAGAAGCAATAGTAATAGTTTATTTGAAGATATGGTATCTGAATCTTTAGATTCAGATAGTATGGAAGTAGAAGAGGGGCTAGATCTTCCCGAGCATCTACTTCCACGAAAAACAAAAAGCAGCACAGAAAAAACAAACATAAATTATAATGGCTACCCTGATCTCATGGAACTGTCGCGGATTCCACCGAAAATTTTCTTCGACATCAAAAGTATAGTCAATGTTCATCATCCTGTGTGCTTGGGCAAGTACAGGAAAACAAATCTGAAACCAGATCAACAAGCAAAACTTCGGAGGTTTTCTTTCGTCAGGAAAGATAACCTTGCAGGTGAACGTGCCAGTGGAGGTGTAGGTCTTCTCACCTCACTGGACTTATCCCTCAAAGTTCCTTCCTTTGACGACATCCCTCCAAGTTGTCGCTACTACAAAGTAAATTTTGATATTGTTAGTTTCAGTTGTTTCTCTGTATTTGCCTCCAAATGAGCACATTGATCAGCAAGATTTAAATTGTCTTATAGAGCAGCTGCCTGAGCCTTTCATCATAATAGGAGATTTTAACGGCCATAGTCCGCTCTGGGGTAGTAAAGATACAAATTGCCGAGGAAGACAAATTGAGCAATGATCGAAGATCATAGCCTTTGTCTCCTGAATAATGGGCAAGATACTTACTTCCATGAGCCTTCAAGGACATTCCACGCTCTCGACCTTGCCATCTGTTCACCATCTCTGTTGCCATTTTGCACTTTTAGTGTCGGAAATGATCTTTACAACAGCGATCATTATCCATTTTTGTGTCTCTTGCACGAAGAGGAGCAAACCCCATGTCGAGACTCCCTTGGTTATACTGGACAGGGCAGACTGGGAACTCTTCTCTTCCATTGCAGCAGAGCTCACAGATGAAATGGTAGAAGATGTGCATATCGATGACGCTGTTGAAGCTGTTACTAATACTATTATTCAGGCAGCTATGCTTTCGATTCCTAGAACATCAGGAAAAATACTAAAATATTCGAAACCTGTGGTGGAATCGCGACTGTCATGAAGCACTGAAAAAACAGAAAAAAGCATGGGGTATTTTTCGTAGATATCCTACTCTGCGAAACCTCATAGCTTTAAAAGAGCCAAAGCAAAATGCACGAAAAGTAAGAAGGCAGAGCCAGAGGGAATTCCTGGATTTCATATGTGTCCTCAATAACATCCTCTACGCCTAGTAAGCGGGTTTGGGAAAGAGTTCGAAAAGCATGCGGAATATATAAAGACCACTCACTTTCCTTTTTGGAAAAAGATGGCCGAGTGATTAGCTCCATAGAAGAAATTGCGAATACTATTGGTGAGACATTTGCTGCCGTTTCTTCCAGCCAGAAACTATTCACCTGCATTTCTCTTCTATCAAGCAGCACTCTGAAATAAATCCCATCGCATTCAACTCTTCCAAATCTGAGCCTTACAATAGAGATTTACTATGCTTGAATTAAAGAGAGCTTTATTGCAGACACATAGGTCTTCTTCTCCGGGTCTTGGATGGCGTGAATTACGAAATGCTAAAGCATCTGTCCTGTAAGTCACTGAGTGCCCCTTCTCACTCTTTACAATAGAGTGTGGAAGGAGCGTATTTTTTCCCAGTGCATGGAGGAGAGCTGTTGTCATTCCTATTGCGAAGCCAGGGAAAGATCCAAGGAATCCCTCGAACTATCGGCCAATTGCCCTTACCAGTTGTGTTGCAAACTGTTTGAAAAGATGGTAAACAGCCGCCTAGTCTACTTCTTGGAAAAGAATGATATTATATCGCCTTATCAGAGTGGTTTTCGAAAGGGAAGAACAACTGTAGATAACATGCTCCTCTTAGAGACATCTATTCGAAAAGCATTTGTAAGAAGAAGCCACCTTGTCTCGATATTCTTCGACATTGAAAAAGCTTATGATAAGGCATGGAGATACGGTATACTCCGGGATCTTCACGAGAGTGGCTTGCGCGGCAACCTACCAATTTTCATTCAAAATTTCTTGAACACTAGAACTTTTCAAGTAAGAATTGGCTCTGTTTTTTCGGATGTTTTTGAACAGGAAGAGGGTGTGCCCTCAAGGCTGTGTGCTTCAGTGTAACCCTGTTTAGTTTAAAAATAAACTCTGTACTAAAAGAACTTCCTGCCACCATCTTGGGATCTCTATATGTTGATGATCTGCAGATTAGCTGTCGAGGAGCAGACATGAGATACATACAGAGGCAATTGCAGATGGCTCTGAATAAGATCCAAGAATGGTCAAACAAACAGGGATTTACATTTTCGAAACAGAAAACTGTGTGTGTGCACTTTTGTACGAAGCGAGTTCTCCATCCTGAACCTGAGTTACATCTGAATGGTACAATTATTCCATTTGTGCCCGAAGTAAAATTTTTAGGAGAGACGTTCGACCGAAAATTAACTTTCCTTTCTCATGTTTTAAACCTGAGAAAGAAGTGTCTAAAACACTAAATATTTTAAAAGTTGTTGGCGAACACCTCCTGGGGTGCAGAGCGTTTGCTCCATGCTTCGCATTTACAGAGCGCTTCGTCCGCTCTAAACTGGACTATGGCTCAGTTGTTTATGGATCCGCTCGGCTCATCAGTATTGTTAAAACTGGATCCTGTTCACCATCAAGGCTCTGCGGATTTGTTCAGGAGCTTTCAGGACTTCTCCCGTCCAGAGCCTGTATGTTGACTGTAACGAACCATCACTTTATCTGAGGCGTGAGCAATTGTCCCTTTTGCAATATTTTAATATTCTCTATCCCAACCTGAACATCCCAATAAGCTGTGCTTACTGATGAGTGTAACGTTTTATTTGAAACACGTCCATCCTGTGTTCCTACCTTTCCTTTAAGAGTTCGCCCTGTCATTGAGGAACATTCCCTCTCTGATATGCGCCCCCAAGCAGTACAGAATTTGAAATTCCACCTTGGGAAAATTCACGGATTCAGCTTCTTGATGTTTTTCAAACATCACGTGAAGGCGAGCACTAACGAGATCGTTTACAGACAAACTCTTTCGCTGAGCACAGGCACAAATATAGCAGTTATTATCCGATTTACACAGATGGATCAAAGTCAAATGATCATGTCGGGATGGCTTTTGTATTTGAAAGATTACATAGAGGGCAGATGCCTGCACCATGCTTTGCTCTGTCCTAACATCTGAACTAACTGCAATATATTATGGTCTTTTGTACATCTCAAAGCTCTGCCACAAAAAGTTCATAGTTTATACAGACTCGTATAGTGCTCTAAATCCTTGGAAGCTTTTCCCAACACTCAGAATCCTGTGGTAGTGGATGTTCTCAAAATTCATATAAACTTAACGATTCGAGGATATGAAAGTCCTGTACTGCTGGGTTCCCGGGACATGCGGGAATAAAGGGAAATGAGCTTGCAGATATCGCAGCCAAAATCTGCTGTTCGAACTGTCCAGTCGCCTTATCCCTTTTAGAGACATCTGCTGTGTCATCAAGGGAAAGATCCGAAAAAAAAAATGGCAGCAAATTTGGGATGTTCAGCTTCAAAACAAGTTGAGACAAGTAAAACCTAGAATTGAGCATTGGGAATTGCCAAAAATCGTAAGGAGGAAGTTCTTTTGACTCGCCTCAGAATTGGTCATACCAGAGTCACACATAGCTATCTTCTTAAAGCTGAAAATGAGCCTGTTTGTTCAAATTGTAATGTTTGTCTATCTGTCCGTCATATTTTAATTGAGTGTCCATATTTTAATACTCTTCGTCAGAAATGTTTTAATGGCTGTGACTTACCTCTCGACTGTTTAATCGGAAGAGAGGTCAATTGTAATTTATTTTATTATTTAAAAGAGACTGGCTTTTATTACCAAATGTAATTTGTTTTGAAGACTGTCATTTTTAATGTGTGCTTTTAACTTGTGTTTATATGACTTCATCCTCTGGATTTGATACATTTGTCTACTTGTTTTTATTTATTGAATTTTAATGTCATCAGTTGTAATCATCCCATCTTTTGTTTGGCGCGTCATAATCATCTCTGGTTTTTGCGCCATAATCACTCACTCACTCACTCACTTTGTTCAAATAAAGAAACAGTTTTTGAGTTATTGGGATATAAAATGGATTAAACTATTTTCAAATGTTTATTTAAAAGCTTCATTCGAATGTAAAAATTCTTTCAGAAATTTATATATTTAATGCTGATTTTTAATTTTTTTTTTTTTTTTTCTTTATTCTTTTATAAGAAATGGATGGAAGTTAGCATGGAGGAACAGAAAGCACTGCCTTTAAGTGAAGCTCCAAAACTCACTTTAAAGCTTATAGGAGAAAAAGTTGCTAATTTGGACAGAGAAGTTAAGTACTTACTCAACAAAGCACGTTTTGCACAACCCTTAAAAAAGAAAGTTGCTGATAAAGAAGCTAAAGCAAATGAATCTGCTCAAGATGATATGCAGAAAGGTGAATTATATTTTTGTTGAATGATAGTAACTAATTTACACTTGAAATTAGGTTTGTTGAAAGAATCTTCAGTTTCACATAATTTAGTGAATGTTTTTAATATAATTTAATGAATGTCTAATGTGAATGGAGGTTTTTCATACCACATGTTGTCAAGTGAATGTGTATTATGATGAAATCAAATATGCTTTTGCTTTCTTCAGAGCAACATAGAATTGTTAATTAATAAATCATCTACCACAGGGACATTTAATGATCATCTAATCATCTGTATTTGTAAATTAATAAATTCTGAAATTGTACTCCTCCATAACAATGTAAATGTTAAATTTGGAAAAAAATTTAAAAGTTTTCATCATAAAATTGTATCTATTCTTATTTACGTATGTGTAGACATGCTTTCAGTTTTCATATCTGAATATTTTCTAGACAAAGCATATTGTTGTTATATGCAGAAGGTATTTTCAAGTTTCTGTTTAATTTTTTAATTTTTTATTCTTGCATATTTAGAGAAACAGATCATATGAAGTTTTGAGTTCATTAGAAAGCTAGCTTCATTATTTTTTTTTCTATTTTTAGCTAAGAGCATTGTAACTATTTTATAACTGTTTTGAAACCACTTTTGGCCAGACATAGCATAAAAATTAAACATTAATTCACATGTGATAAAACTCTCAAGCTATCAGAGTTGTATTTTTAGTTCAAAAAGAAATTATTTGTTGTGAAAGTTTCAAAAAGAAATTATTTGTTTGTTTATTAGCAAGATTATGCTGATTTCATGGGAGTAATTTTCTGATTCTCATCTCTGGAGATAGCATATGAGTGAAGTCAGCTTGCAGTTCTCATTCATTCATTTGCTACAAATGTCGAACTACAGTGTACATTACACTGGCAGATGAAAGTGATTATATCTCTGATTGCCAGAGCAAGTGCCAGGTAGAACTGGGTAGGATACCAGAATTTCACTATTGATCATACAGGCATAGTGCCATTGTACTAACTGTGCAGTTCCACCCCAATTTTGAGTAAGAACAGCCCGGAAGTGGTCCAGCCGTGGTAATCACGGTTGTATTTTGTGTCAATTTATGGCAAGAGTGTAGAAACAGTTTAGATAAACACACTAGCACATGGTGAAGACTGGCAATATTTAAGTTCTGAGAGTGTTTTAAAGGAGGGAAATGTTATATGCAAAGTGATCTGAGAAGTGGACACTAATCTGCAAATAATTTGTGTCCAGTGTGTATCAGGTAACTGCAATCCAAGATTTCTGGATTTGTGAAATGTAGACTCCATTATCTTTCTCAAATTTTGTTAGAGAAAAAAAATATATTATTCAAAGCTTATTTAACTAAACTTTTAGATTATATAAAGTTCAGCTAGAGATCAAACTTTATAATTTGCTCTGACAAGTTTATCTCTCACAGAAAATACATATTGCTAGTTGATTAAAAAAAGAAAAGTGCTGTAAAATTGGGGCTGAAATATTTAGGCTAAAATAAGATGGAAAACAGAAATATGTAATAATTACCAAACTGATTAAATCTGTGTTAATTTCCTTTTATATGCTTATTGTTGAAAGTTCATTTAATTATGTGGATGGCAGAATGTAGAGCATCTTCTCAGCACACTGTGCTGAGTATGAAATATTATTTATTCTTATTCCATAAAAATTATCTGTGAAGCTTTTGGGTTGGGAAAGATTTTCAAAATTTTTTTTTTATATTTTATTTTGCCAACAAAATTTGTTAACTAAATTTAAAAAAAAAAAATGTGTACTACGTATTTTTATAAATAAGCACATAAAAATGATGCAAATGAAAAATTCAAATGTATACTTGTTTTCTGCCTGAAATCTAAAAGTTGATATCTGCAAGAAATTACTGTTTTTTCACAGTTTGTAATTTAAATGTATTGACAGCTAAATATTAAAATGTTTAGTTTGACATTTAATCAAATAATTGGAGTATATTGAAGTAAATACTGAGTAATTTAGTTTTGACTTAAACTAAAAGGAAATTTATGTAAACTTCTTGGGTTAAATTAAAACTGTTACAGGACCTAAACACTTTTCCTCATTCTTTTTCTTTTGGTCATGGTTTAGCTGTGCTTCACATTCCATGGTAAAATCGGCAGTGGGACATTTTTGTAGTGCCCCTTTTTACAGAGTCCCTAGGTACTTTTTCCTGATGCTGTAAGCACAGGCATTATTTTGCTTAATGGTTACTACAGCTCTGCGAGAGGAACAAAGCTGTGACAACTTATTCTCTTTCTTTTATATATTAGGTTTTCATGTGATGCAAACAGAAAAAGTACATATTTATCTAAATAATCATAAACCTCTTTGTTTACTACTGCACCTTTAAGCTACATCATCTTGTAGTGCTTCAGATTTTATAAAGTTTATAAACTTAGAGGAAAATTATTAAAAAGCATCTTCATCGTGAATTGTAGGAACTCTTCAGCAGTCTGTTTCTTTTCATAGATTTATTAATTGTCAACTACGGAAAAAAAAAATTATATGTTGAGGTACTCTGAAACAAAGCAATTGTTTTTATTGCAAAAATTCGTATCTGAGTGTATTTGTTTTCACAAGTAATAATAAAAGTTAATCAAATTGTATCATCAGATCTTTGAATAAGATTTATATCACAGTTAATTAATAAGTCCTGTTTCTAGATTTTCCTGATCATTATTCACATTTATTTTTGTTAAAGAATATAATGTAAAATTGGACTCTATAATAAACCATTACAATATAAACGTTTCTTCAAATTTTTGTCATAATAATGCTAACTGATTTACAATAAATGTTGCTGTATAAAATTACTTCAGGAGCCACGTATGTCCAGTGGGCCGCCAATCTGAGACCACTGGCACAAAGCATATGACTCGAATTCTGTATAGAATCTGCCCATGAATACATATTTGTATTCATGGGCAGATTAATACATATTATTTGAAAAGAAAAAATTATATTTTTTCTTCCTATGCCCTTTGTTAGGCTTAAGTATAAAAAACCCTGACAAAACATAAGGGTTTTTTTGGGGGGGCACACAAAACTGTGAAGTCAACAGATTAAAAACAATTTATAAAAAAAAGATCGAAAAAATTTATAAAAAGTTATTTTTCAAGGATTTATTTTTTTTACTGTTGAAGTTTATTTAAATGAGCATTATTGTTCTGTCTATGAAATACATTTTTATTTTAGAAAATATTATGACTGAGAATGCAACACTTGGAACTGAAAAGCCTGAAACCAAAGAAGAAGCTCAGTCCACTGATATTCCTGAAATGGATACAGACTCGGGAACTACACCAGGTAAACTATATTGGTGAAATATGTGTTAAAATGTTTTGTAGTATTTTTGTCTAAATTGATGAGCAGTTTGCATTCTTTAATATTCTGAAGTCTTGGAAGCCTTATACATGTGCAAATACAACATCAGAATAATTATTGGAAAATTAAAAATTCTGTATGACCTAAATGATGACCTGAAGGATAGAAAAATGTATCTCAAATGGTGCTGGTCATTAAGTGTTTTGAACTACCTTTTTTAGTACCCATGAAAACTGTAATAAATGCACTAAAGTTTTCATTGAATGCCAAGGTGATGAACATTCAAATCTGATTGACAAATGCAGATGTTGGAGACTGTTCTATTTAGTGCAGGCAAATAAGCATTTGCCTGTCGTGCTGAAAAATTTTAGCCTGTCTCACTTTTGAATAGAATATCAAACAAGTATATTAGATATTTTTGAAATTATATGAAATGTATTTATTTTAATAGGTATTTTGTATATAACACTTGTTAAAAGTTCATTATTATAAATAGGTATATCTTGATCATTTTAGAAAATATTTTCGCAGTAGAAGTTGTCTACTGCGAAATATTGGATTTAATGAAAGTCTGCATAATATTGGATTTAATGAAAGCTTCTTGCCACCACAAATACCCTCTGCTTAAGTAGTTCACGTTGGCATGTTTAATCATATTTTGTCAAACAATTTTTGGCATTTGAAAGAAAGAGACTTGCTTTAGAACATGGTGTTATAAAATTTGTAAAAAAAAAAATATCGTTATCATTAAATATAATGTGTCTGAAATGGAACTATCATTCTACCAGATTAGAAATATAATTTACTTCCAGTTCTGTTGCAAAAAGTCAGATACAGAATGTCGCCAAATCATGTGTATAGCTTTAGGTACTAATTTTGTATCCTATGACACTGTGAAGGTTTGGTACCAAAAGTTCAAAAACAAGGGCTATGACATTCAAGCAGCAGAATGCTCTGGCCAGCCTATTGCTGTTCATTTGGCCTGCCTGCAAAAACTTATGGAAGATCAGTGTGCAATCACTTGAGAGCTTGTTAAGGAGTTAGACATTAGTGCCATGTCCACCCACATGAGCTGACTTGAGCATATAAGGACAAATGTGTTGGACGTGTACTAATCTGTTTGAATATCAGTGCAAGGACAAAATTCTGGACTGGATTGTCACTTGTGATGAAAAGTAGAATTACTTCAACGGCATAGGCCGGAAAGGCGGTTGGTTCTTGAAAGCATCACAAAGTGAAATTTGACTAACAAAAAGAGCACACTTTGTATCTGGTGACATTCTATAAAGAATGTCTGGAAAAAGGTAAAACCCCCAACAGTAAGGTGTACAGCGAGATGCTAGTTCATGTTGATGCTGCTATCAGGGAAGATACATTGAACTGAGTTCTGGCACAAAAAGGTAATGTTCCATCAATATTGTTACAAATTTGGTATTTAATGTTAGTAAAATTATAAATAAAATTGTTTTATTCCCTGTGTAATACAGCGTGTGATGAATATTAAAAGAAAGCTAAGCCGGAAAATTAAAAATACAAGAGCGCATGCATTTAATATTTAATAAATATCTCTTTTTGATTTCAAGAAAATACCAGAAAATTCTCACGCATTTAAAAAGCTTATGGTAATTTAGTTAGTTGTTGTTTTAAGAGTTTGTTTAGAAACTTGCTCTTGTTGACTATAGCGAATTTGCGGATTCGCTTTGTCTAGCTGTTTTGAATTAAGTTCTGTTGAACGTTTGAGTAGTTAAAAGATAATTGTGAGATATTGTAATGCTGTAGGAATATCTGAGGAAATTTAAGCATTTTGTTTTATTTGTAGTAATAATAATAAATTTTGTTCATTTTTCATCGGACTTGTGCATTCAATTCATAACGAACCTGTACACATGCAACAATATAATGCAAGACCACATGTGTCTTCATTTACCAGCTGAACTCTTTACGGACTTGATTGGATCTTTTGCCACTCTCACCATATAGCCCCAACATCGCTCCTTTGGACTTCTACCATTTTTCACACCTGCAGCTACATCTTGCTGGTGCTATCTTCCATTCTGCACAGAACATCCGAAATGACGTTAATCTGTTTTTGGACTCACGGCCACCAAGTTTCTGGGACAAAGGCTTTGAAAAACTACCAAAGTGTTGGCAGAAGATCACACATTTGGGTGGTAATTACTACCTGCACTAAAATTACCGATTTCACGTTTTTTATAACTTTATTAAGAATGTTTTTTGGTGAAAAACTTTCGTTACAACCAGATAAATATAAATTTTACACAGTGGATAGAATAAAATAACATGGAATAAGTAAATTCAAAACTAGTAATTCTAATTATTTTAAATTCAAGTCTTTTTTCATTATTTTGTTTTTTAATGATAAATTCATATTTTGTGATGAAAAAAATGATCATGAAAAAGTTGTATGCAAAAACAGGAAATTGTGAAATTTATCTTCAGAATGATTTACAAGTATTTGGTCTTCATCGATGTACTTTTACAATGAAGAATGTGATCCAAATATACATACATAAAAAGTTACTTGAAAGATATTAAGCTAGCAAGGAATTGAGTGGAAACTCAAAGATTCCTGTTAATTATATTGATCACAGAAGCATTATGATTATTTTCTTAATATGTTGGTCCAGCATGCAAAACAGCTGCAATCCATCATGGCATTATTTTTCAAGGACTTAAGTAATGGAAATGCATAGTAAGTGTTTAGTAGAAGACTGTATCAGATTTTCAAGTAGATGTCGCATGACACCTGTAAATCAGAAGAGGTGATTAAAATTAGAGCTTCATAACATTGCAGATATGCTCAGTAGAATTAATAGCAAGTAAGTTAGGCCAGGACATTAACTGCAATTCATCAGCATGTTTTTTAAACGTCTGTTGGACAATTCTGATTTTGTAATAAAAAATATTGTCTTGCTGGAAAAATCCATTTCCAGTGGGAAAGACAAAAAGCATGAAATTGGGTAACTTTCTGCTAATGATGTTCATATGATCCAAGCTGTCATGGTGTGTTCTATAACCATCAACCCCATGAGCATAAAATGAGAACATTTAGCAAAGTATAATACCACCAACTTAATTACATCCTTCAGCAGATACTTAAATCAACTGTTTGGCTAAAGGTGACATATTCTGATATGCCGTTGACATAGATAAAATCAAGATTAATCAGACCATATTGTCCATTTATGATGTTCATGAGCCCACTTAGTTGTAAAGTCGATGATGCTGGGTTAATAGAGGTATGTGAGGGGGGGGAAACTGCTGCAGATTCACATATCCATGAACTATACCAATACTGAACTTTACACTTAGACCTGCATTGAGCTGGCAACTCAGGCACCAGTGGCTGCCTATTCGCCTTCTCCAAACAAAGTAGTCTTTGATATCTGTAAGTTAAAGAAATCTTTCTTTGATCAGACATGGATGTCCAACATTTTGACATCTAATGCTGATGCCCACTAGCAGCCGAGCGGTAAAGTCGCTGAACACTGGTAGTTCGGTTCCGAGGTTCGAATCCCGCGAACGGGCTGGCTGCATGGGCGTTTTCATGGTTTTCCCCATGTGTAACGTGTATACGAGCCAGTTTCCCTTAGAAAGTCCTCCACGAAGGCATCCCTCCCCTTAGGCAGATAGCCCTCGTGTGCTTTGCCATAATTAAATACACGGCATCTAATGCTGATTTCATTTACATGCTAACCAGTGGCAGCTTACAAAGACTCTGTGAACAGTGCCATTTTGGAGATACTTATTCCTCCTAGCTTTCAGGCTATCATAGGTATAGCCTTCAGGCCATTGTAAGTATTAACTTTTGTACATTTAGTTTCGGTCATAAATTTTTTAGTTTCATTCATGAGACATTGTTTTATTAACTTGACAGTAATGAACTATTATATCAATAGAAATCTAGTTGCTGCTGCTTCTGTCTCTCTTTTGCTTTTTTTAAAACTGATTTATATCATTTATTGTATGTAATTTGAATAAGAAAAATTGTGAATGGAAATTTTAAGTTTATTTTTACAAAATATAATCAAAATCAGTATTTTAAAAAGTAATCTGTAGAAAAGTTAGCCATTTCTATTTTTTATTAAAGCTTATCTTCTGAAAGGTATGGAGATAATAGATATTATAACTGAAGTCAAGAGTTTAACAAAGTAAAACATGATGAAAAGAACATAACTTCTCATTTTAAATAATATGAGCATATTAATTTAATATACATTTTTTCTCTAGTAGTACATATATTTACTTTTAATTGTTGAAAATAGCTATCATGAGTTATTGGAAAAAAATATATTGCTTAAATAGACTTCTCTTTCAATTAATTTGGACTTATGACATTTTATTGCATTATGATTTGTGTAATTATTAATTATATGCGGTAAAATAGTCCTGAAATAATTTTTTTCTTTAATTTCCATTTAATTGAGTAAGACTTTTATAATAAAATTTCCATTCCTTTCATATGCATAAAAATTTTTTATTGTAATAATTTTTTATTGCATGGTTTAAAATCATGTGTATTTTTGACTGTATAAATATATTATGTATCCTCTCCCCACTAATTATATATACAATATATTTTTGGCTTTGTGCTACCTGTGTGTAGTTGTCTTTGTTCTATAAAAGAAAAAAGTTTTAATCATTCTAAAATTAGTGTTAACTGTTTTTAAAGTATTTAATAACATAAATTAGCATTACTTAGCATTAATTTTTTCATGACTAATCTTTTAATATTTTAAGTTATTAAATCATACTTTTGCTTAATTATAATTAATTTAAACAAAGGAAATATTAGGTGTTTAGACTTGCAGGAATTTATAAATGCATTTTGTAATAATGAAACAAAGGCCCATTACTTAATTTTGGTTAAGGTTTCTTACTTGTTTTGCTCCAAGAAAAAGCTTTGTAGATAATGCAAATCTATACATAAATTAATCCTGAAGTATTAATGTCTTTCTGCATAATAGCCAATATCTGAGCCAAATCAGGAAAACAGTTTTTGCTTAGTGATGAAAAAATAAACAATATTTTCATTCATGTCAAACCAAAAGGGGACCTCTTCTGAAGTGCTTTAGACAAATTTTTTAATTTGCAGAAGGGTAGAAAAATTTCATACTTTTTTAGGAAGTCAAAGGAACTTAAAATAAATTATAGATCAATCCTTCTAAACAATATAAGAGTTTGCATTTTCAATGTAAAATAATAATGCAAAAATAAAGCAAATGAAAAGTTACTGTAATCTTTATATTTCTTGCAGAAATTATTGTGCTCACCTCATATCAGATACAGTTTTAGTAATCCATAAGTATCTTATTAATGAGGACATTGTTCTGATTAGAAATGTAATTTTCTTTCAAAAATAATGCAAATTGGAAGTTACAAAGCAGTTATTACATAGTATTTTGTAACAAAGTTATAAAATTATTCAGTTACTCATACCTAATTTGATTATTAGTTCATTGAACTTTAACAGAAAAACTTTTCTGTTTGGTTATGGGAAATTAGGGAAAATAAAAAAGGAACTTCAGTGGAGTTTTGTGTGTTTATTATGTGCAGAATCTACTTGATTTTCTTCTATTTAAAAGTAAATAAATGTTCTACAGAATTTGTTATGTATCCGTGATTTTGAATTATATTTCAAAATGTTTCTAATGGGTAAATATGCTTAATATATTTCACTATATAAGGAAGTACGAGTTGTATTTACCTGTGTATTTATTTTATTTAGGAAGTGATAATATTACACCTGCACCAACAGAAACATCACCTTCTCCTGACAAAGTCCAAGATGATCAACATAGTGAATTATGAAAGTAATTGTACTTAATAAATTCATGTAATTTTTGCCAGTGGCACATAAAAATGATAGGGTGAGAAGTATTTTTATAGAGTTTTGATAAAACGATTTGGATTCCTACTGGAATATTCATCTTATCTCAAAACACTGAGGTAATTCTATTACCTGCTATATAATGCTATACAAATCTGATTTCTGTTTTTTATCACTTTAAAAATTGGTGTGCATTATTTGAATTTCAGGTTTGCTAAATTCTTATTGCTTAAAAAATAGTAAATGAACGAGAAAGATGCTTTTTTAAGAACTTATTTTCAGAACTTAATTTCTATAATTTATTTTATGTCATACTTAAATGTAGTTGTATTGTGCAGTAACATGCTGTCAGTTGTTTGTACCATAGTGAAATTGTAATGAATTATTTTCAACACTGCTGATAAACTACATTAAGTTTGATAACATAATTTCTCCCTTTGTGGATTATAAATAATTCTAATCAGAGCTGATTAATTTTTATTTCGAATTTTCAAGATGAGAAAATGCTAAATAAATTTGAGTAAATTATTCATGGAAATGCTAAATAAAATTGAGTTAATTAGTCATGGTTTTGAAACATTCATGGAAAAGATATTTTTGGCGAATGCTCTTGCATTAGATCTGCATTTTTAATGAACAGTTAATGCTCTTAATAATGATTGTTTGTTTAATTGATTATTATATTACAGTGACTGGTGGGGGAAAAAAGTTGACAGAAGTATATCAAGTCCATTTTTGCTATAGCAGTCACTCATTATATCTTTTTTCTTTATCAAGGAAGGGATTGATATAATGTCGATTGGCTGTAGTTTCATTTTATAATTTTTGTCTCTAAGTTTTACATTTAATTATTAAAAATTAGAGTTGAATATAATCCTTGATATTTTATGTATTTGATTTAATCCTTGATATTATCAACTATAAAATTTGGAAGAGGTCCTGTCCAACTTAGCCAGTCATTTTGGCAGAAGTTTGAATGGACAGATAACTATTTTATTTAAATAAGCAACAAATAAAAGTTATGCCTGTTTGTGTTAACTACACTATGTCACAATTTTTCCCATTGAATTACCATTGTTTATCCATTTTCAAATAATGCCATATCATGCCCATTAACGCACATTTTGTTTTTCAAATACCTGGATCTCATAATGCTGAAAATACACTTGCATGCTGTTTCTTAGAAAGCAAATAATAAATTTTAATTATTTTTTCCAAAATGCAGATGAAAAACAAATAGCAGTCATCTTCTGTCTTTTAAAAAAACTAAACTGTCCTGTCAAGGATTAACCAGTGTTACTTAAAACCAAAGCTGTTTGGTGGCAGTTTTTATTTATTAAAAATAATCAATGGGAAAGTATATAAGTATTCAATCTTTTTTAAGTGTGCCCAAAGTTGCTTAATATTTTTTCAAGTGAAGTGCTTAATATTTATTTTGATTGTTACCATATTAAAATTTTATTAGTAAGCAACTAGTGTTTAATGTCCCAAATAAGGTTTTGTATGTTTTTCTGAAAGAATTGTTGAAAATATTAAATATGTTACCTGCGGTTCGAGTTTTTGTTCTTTTTATAAAATAATGTACTGTCATAGGTGTTTCGAATTCTGTTTACTGGCGTCAAATCAAGCCATAATTTGACTCAGCTGATCTTCTTAAGGATATGATGCTTTGTTATGTTATATGTACAACTACCACTTGATCAATTTCAGTATTTGTGGAAAATTTCAATCAGTTTTAATTCATTTGTCATATTTAAAAATGATTTAAAATTGTATGGAGGTTGTCAATTTTTTTTTAATAAGGAGGAAAATTTAGGTGTAAAGGATAGTGAATAAACATTTAAAAAGAATTATTAAAGGTGCTAACTTTTATTATTCGTATGTGTCTCATAAACAATAACTAGAAAATGTTTAATCTAATTAATGTTGATATTGTATGAATAACATCTGAAATTTATAAAAATCAGGATTTCTGAATACTTTTATGGCCAGTGATCATATATCTATATTATTTCATGAAATTTAGGATATAACTGAGATGAATGAATGAAATTTTAATTATACCTGAAGATTAATTTATCTAGTGATTCCATTAAACAAAACTCAGGTATTTAAAACCAGGCTTTAGACTTAATTTATAAAGAAATTCTGATGTGAAATTATTTGTGAAAATTAAAAATGTTAAAAATATTTTATTAGAATATTTCTGAGCTGATGTTTTATTTAATGAGACAATATTTACATAGTCAGGGAGGTTAAGTCATGTGTCTGGTGAAAATAAGTATTCATCAAAATATTAAGCATTATATCAATGCTTGTGATATTTGGAAATATCATTTTTGTATTAGCTTTAAGACAGATTATATTAAATTATTTATGTAAATAAAGTTTTGAATTGTTTAAATTTTATTTACATACAGAAAATTTAACATTGCACCTTAGCATTTTTACGTGATAGCATAAAATGTTATTTATTGTAACTCATTCCAAATGTTGCATTTTATTTACCATTAAAAACTCATGTAAATAAAATTCCAAAGAATTTAGTTGTTTTTGTTTCCTGTGTCCTTTTTTTTATCACCTTCACAAAGCACAAATTAATGAACATTTCTGTTCTGAACAACTTTGCTATGTCAGTGTTAAAACGAAAATTGAATTTGATTAATCTCCTTTGATTGACAGGAATCGGCTAACTAAAGTAAATTTAAAATTATTTGGAAACATCTGCTAAACAGTGGCAGATTTAGGAAATGGGGAGCCGATCTTACATGAATGTTTAGAGGTGTCTGATCTTATGACGAAAGGGTATATTTGCCTTTTGTTGAAAATTTGTTAATGATTTATGAGCCTCTTGAAATATGGGCCTCAGAAACCTACCTCTGCTGTTAAATATTTTGTGTCAATGTTCATATGCCTTGCTATGAAAAATGAAATATTGCCTTCAATGAAGTGTTTAAAAGGCTGCAATAAAATTTTCGGGGAAAAAAGGCAGTATATTTTATACAATAGTACTGCTTGTAGTTATTATTGCACTAAATGCTTCAATTTGTTAACAATGATAATAATAGTAAAATTAATTATGCTGATCCAGAATTGCTGCTGCAGTAAAATTTTTGCCAGTTTTCTTTTTTATGTATATAATTCTATTTTTTATTGCTTTTAAATTTTAAAAAAATTATTTTGAAATGTAGAGGTGCTAAATCATCATAAACAACATTAGGAAGGCAAAATATCAAATAGATCTTAAAAGATTGTGATGGGTAACTAAATTTAAAATGTAAAGAATTATATATTGGAAGAAAATTTAAATCTGCAGTTCAGGAGGGTTCAGATGTGTTTTTTAATTCGAATAATAGATATGAAAAGTTTCATATCCCCCTGTTTCTAAAATTGTTTTTTTACTTTTTGCCTTTCCATTTCTATATTTTCTTAAAAGTGAGTGGGCAAGATTAAAGTATTTTGTAGATGAAAATTAAAACATCTGCCAATACATTTAAGCAACTGTAGATGCTGTTTGAAAATCTCAAAATCAGTTACTCAAAATTTGAATTTTTGAATGTGTTTTTCAAATACACATTGAAACAACTGGAATTTTTGTTATGTATTTATTGTTTTAAACTTTGTATTACAAATAACTTTTCCTAAATTATGCTTTAACCGTGTGTTACATTTAAAAGTTTATACTTCTCCAGTAGTTTAGCTAGAAATATGAGCTCATGAATCATGAAAAATTTAGGCCCACCAGCGGCCGAGCAGTAAAGATGCTGAACACTGGTAGTTCGGTCTGAGGTTCGAATGCCACGAATGGGCTGGCTGCATTGGCGTTTTTGTGGTTTTCCCCATGTGTAACCTGCATACGAGCAAGTTTCCCTTAGAAAGTTCCCCCCACAAGAGCATCCCTCCCCTTAGGCAGATAGCCCTCGTGTGCTTTGCCATAATTGAATAATCCAATCCATGAAAAATATTTGAATAAGTGCTTTAATTTTCTAGTAACTTTTAAATTCTGTGGTTCTTGTTTACCTTAATCTACTTGTACACAATTGTGTTATTAATTGAATTAGCATTTGGTTTACGTTCAGTATAAATTATCTCTATATAAAAGTAATAAGCTCTGTATACGGTTAGTATGGATGCATCTCAATATAAAAGTAATTACTGCATATAGTGATGCCTTGCTTAATGAACAAAGTCTGCTCTGCGGTATGAGATTAACGTCGTAAAAAATTTCAGAGCATATTAAAAATACCTCCAGTATTGGAAGTGCTAGAAATTTACTAATTTAATAATTAAAATATTTTATATTACTAATGAATTAGTAATGATTATAGCTAATGTATTAAAAAGTGTGAGACTGTGTTTGCTGTTTAAACAGTCTATTTTTTAATTCTGTTTAATGCAAATCTTCTTAGTCTTCTGTTGGAATTTGAAGACTTAAATGTATTTTACCTTCTTGCACATCTTGCTTCAGTTCATTTTTTAAATTTGTTCTACTTTCAGAATGTCACCTGTAATCAAGCTGTAAATTAAAGGATATGTTTTTGTGCTTTCCAAAGAGAAATATTCCTGTTCCATAATTCAGAAACATTGGGAAATGCATAGTACTAAAATTTCTAAAGCAAAATTGGGCAAAATTATCAACTAGAAAGGGAAATCTGACAATCATTACTTCTATATGGAAAGAAGACCAGGGGTGTTTGTGCTCCGGGGAAACCCCGGAATTCCGGGGATTTTGAACTTCGATTCCGGGGATCGTCGTTCAAAAGGAAGTAGGAATAATAATGAATTATTTATTTTGATCTGGGTAATTTTGTTTGCTTTGAAAGCAGAAAACGCAAGGTCAGTGTGTACGGTGAAAACTTTTCCTTTCTTTCTCCAAAGGCAGTGATAATGCGTGAAAAGGGCGAAAAAACTTCTTTTTTGTTCTTTCCTTATTGCAAGTTATGACTCATTCCCCCGGTTCTCGGACATTCTCTTCTGGATTCTTTTCGGCAAGTAGGCGCAGCAGAGAAAAAAAGGAGAGACTTCGTTCGACCAGATGTGCGATCACGTGACTCTGGGTTCAAAGGTCTTATGTCTCCTGGCGTGGCGCCAATAAGTAGAGAAGGGGGATTTTTCGCCGTATTAGCTATTTGTCATTGATCGCTTCTCAACTTTTTTTCTCCGCTGCGTAAAATTTTCGTTTCATTTATTGATGCACGTGTAAATTTTTCGTTTCGTTTATTGAAATATTTTTTATTTATGTACGCAAGAGAATTTCACTATGAAATTTCTCGATATAAATAGTGATATTATACAATTAGAAGAAGGTGTCCGGAATGCATTTAGGTGGAAATGGATTGAACGGAGGGATGGTAATGAGGATACCATCGGCACATGGTGCAAGAAAATAAATGTTGCTGGACAAGCATATTGTGTTTTTTGTAACTCACTGCTGAAGTATGGTGGGGAAGGATTCAAGGCTTTCACAAATCATTCTAAAACTGTAACGCACATAAAATATTCAAAGTGCATTAGACATTCAATGACTTTAAGTAATTATGCTAATTCAAAAAATACTGATGACTTACTGGAGACTGATGCTCGGCCATTGGATATAGTGACAAGAAAAGCACACCAAGAGGTATTAATAACTTCGTTTATCGCCGAGAATTCTCTTTCTTTCAATGTAGCTCCCAATTTAATTGAACTCTGCAAACAGTTGAGCCGCGATCAGACGGCACTAAACTCGTTGGAAATGTCCAGGACTACTGCATGTTATAAGATGAAATATGGGCTCGCAAAAACTATTAAGGAAAATATCATTAAAACTTTAAAGGAGACTCCATTTTCTCTAAATTTGGATGAAAGTACTAGCAATGCTCAAGAAAGTATACTGGCAATGTTGGTGCAGTTTTATGACAACAATCAAAATGAAGTTGTAGTTCATCATTTTGCATCTCTAAAGATGGAATCTTGCAATTCAGAAGCTGTTTTTAAAGCAGTTGTTAATACTATTGAAGATAATAATATTCCATGGGCAAACTTAATTAGTGTATTAATGGACTCCTGTAACACCATGCGTGGAAAAAAAAAGGGTGTTGAAACCAGACTACGATCAAACAAAGCAAACCACTTATTAGATATTGATGGTGACACATGTCACACAGCTAATAACTGTGCAAAAAAATTTGCTTCATGTTTTGATAGATACTTAGAAGATTTGTTTGATGACATCTATTTTGATATGAAAAGCTGCAGTAAAAGAGAAAATTTTTTCAAAATCTGTGAATCCCTTGCCATTAAAAAACTTAAGCCCTTGAAGAGACCAGACCATAGGTGGGTGTACATTTTATGTGTTTTAGAAAGAATCAAAGATCTGTGGGATGCTCTTATTGCATTTTATTTTCACTACTTGGATAAAACTGATAAAAGGGATTACTTTTCTTATGTTGAAACTGTATACAATAAAAGAAATATTTCTGCAGCTCAGAAAAAAATTGTTGAAGGGGTGTATTCTTGCTTGCATTCCCAACAACTCACAAAGGATGCTTTAGCTCGGAAGAAAAGAGTACTAAATGGGTTATTTGTCATGCAAAACAAAACTTTATTGCATATGGCATTATATTCAGCAGTATTACCAGAGCTCAACATGTATATTAAATTATTTGAAACAAAAAAACCAATGCTTCATTTAATACATTCCAGTATTTATAAATTGATGGCAAAATTTTTCTCTTTTTTTATGAAGCCAGAAAATAGAGTGCATATCTTATAATGATTTATTAAAGGTTGATGTCACAAATCCAGAGTTCCATCTACCTAGCAAAGTAATATTTACTGGTGCAGAAGCTTCCACTCTCCTGAAGAAATTATCAAAAAATCATCCAATAGAAAAAGAATTCCAAATTTCTCTGATGAAAGCTTATACTAATACAGCACAGCATATGAAACAGAAATTACCCCTTAAAAATTCATATCTAATTAGTTTTACAGCATTAGATCCAGAGCTAAGAGGTAAAACAGTACAATATTAGCTTTTGAAAAATTATCATCTTTTATGTCCCATATTTTTAGTGATAATGAAAAGTCAAAAGTAGAAGCTGAAATAAGGTTATACCAGAGTGATATTGATATCATGAAAGAAATGCTCTACACATCTGATGAAAGTGGAAATCAAGTCAAGTGTACAATTGATAAATATTGGTCTAAAGTTTTTAATTTAAAAGATGATTTCACAAATGATTATAAGTATCCTACATTGGCTAAATTGGTCAAAGCCTGCCTTAGCTGCTTCCATGGCCCATTAGTGGAAAGTGCATTCAACTTAATGGATACACTTGTCACTGACTATAGAACCTCTCTTAAGATCGATTCCCTAGATGCAGTGCAGACTATTAAATATGATTTAATGGCTTCTAAAGAAACCTCATGTGAAAAATATGGCTAAAAAAATCCAATGACTGATCCAATTCACAAAGATCTCTTACTGAATATGAATAGAAGTTGGAAAACATATCAAGAGGATTTAAAAACATGTATTTCAGATGAGTCACCTATAAAAGTCTCT